AGTACTATGTCTGTAAACTATTGGTATAAATTATTGGTTTAAGATACTTTTCTTGTAGAAGGTTGTTTTGTTTTTTTATTGAGAGACACTTTTATTATCTCTTCTCTATGTTGAGATGAAACATATTGTACCGTTCTCTAAATAATCTGATAAACCAATGGGTTTTTATGCCTAACCACAGTGCAAAAACTTAATTCTTACAGTGAATGAGTGGAGAACATCACAATTTATGCTACCACGAGTCTTATTATATTGCCTAGAGACGGACCAGTTTAATGAATTATAAGCTCAGTATGTCATTGCAGCTCCAAAGTCTATGAAAAAAGTTTGCACGGTTTTACACCCTCATTTGTTCGTTCATTGTCTCAACGAACATTTATAGAAGAGAGTTTCTGTGCTGAATGCTGGAGATAAAACAATGAAAAAGACATCGTTTCAACACTCACAAAGCTCCCAGTCTAGTAGATAAGTTCTAGATTCCGGCTTGATTGGGCTGCCTGTTCTTTGGTCTGTGGCTATCATAGAGGAAGATGGTCTTGGGTTCATGAGTTGCTTCCATCATTTATGTAAGAGTTATCACTTATAAAATACATGCATTTTGTTCAGTGGAAGAATTTGATAACATGGATCAGGCCATCCCATTAAAGAGAATGATATCAGCTAATATTTTTATTGAGGGCCAGACACCATGCTAATAGTTTCCGTGCCTTATCTCATTCCTCAGTAATCCTGGACTGGAGATCCTCTTATTCCCATTTCATAGATACGGAAACTGAGGCTTAGGGTAGTTCAGTTATTTGCCTCAAGTCATCTGGCTAGTTACTATGGCAAAGTTTAGAGTCCAATAGAGATTTGTCTATTCCAAAGGGCATGGTCTGGACCATTATGTGATATTGGAACCATTAAGTGATGTTTTGTAGTCTGAATATTTACTCTTCTGTAGTCTGACCTTTTAAATGGACTCTTTAATTGACTACTTATTAGCAATAGCTCATAATTTATATTACTATTCTTGCTTGAAAACGATGCTTCTGCTTCTAATCACGGCACCCCTCTCTCCCTCCAGAAAGATCAAGTAAGTCATATTGAATAGGCATTAATTAAATACTTAAAATATGATTCTTTCTATAAAATGACAAGTCATTTTGACACCATTCCCCTCAATTTTCTTTCTGTATTGGCATCAAGTTTCCTAGAAATAGTGTAGCCAGTAAAAGAACTAAAGCAGTTGCACTAAATTGCATAATTCAGAGCCGCCTTTCCACTCATGATGGGACAGCTACAGCAATGCCAAGCCGAACAGGATCCTCTGATAAGCAGCACAGAAAGTATGGCCAGTGCCCTGGAACTGTAAGTGTAATAAGTCCAAAGGCACAGTCTTTCAGCAACAAATAGCAGGTAGTGCAGGTGCTGGTGCGGGCTCAGAACTGTTGGATGCAGTCCGCGTTTGGTCGCATACCATGGCGATCTCCAGAGAGCTTAATGACTTCATCCAGGTGTTTGGAGGCAATTGTCTCCTGACCTAGCATGGAGGACAGTAATAAGGAGTTAACTAGTGAGGGTCCCTAAGGGGTGGAGATGTTAGGTCCACTTGGTATTTTTATGTTGAAAGATTTTTAAAGAAGTTTATATCATCTATTTATTTGAAACCAAAAATAACTAAAGGAAAAAAATGCTACGTTTGTCATTTGGCCAGAGGATGATTAATATCAAAATATTTGATTGTGTGATCGTATGCAAGAAGGCCATAAACTGGATTTGCTTTTTCTAAATTCAGTCCAATAAATTTGTTCATTCATCAGTAGCCTCACAAATGAAACACTGCCTGAATGCATTTCCCAAGGATGTTCTAGCCTGCCAGATCCATTCAAATGAAGGTTTTGAAAGAATTTTTGCAAAGTTGATAAAGCATTGAAAAAATAAATAAATTATATATTTTGGTTTTCTTAGTGGTTGTGATCAGATGAACAAATGAATTCATAAATTGAAAAATCAACTTTCTGGTCCTCTTTTTTTCCGAATGACTCCATACTCAATGTAAATTATAGCAATAAATTAAATAATGGCGACACATATAATTCATGAGACTTCTGAAAAGTGCTTTTTAGGAGAGTGTGGGGCAGGGGAAATTATAGACTTTGATTCTGGGTCTATCACTTTCTATATAAATATCCTTTAACAAATAAATTTTGATTCAGTGGTTATTACTTTATTAAATTTATAATCATAGTATATACTACTATGGAAAATACAATAAAATAAGGAATAAAAAGAAAGCATTTTTCTCAGTTTGCTGAGATCTTGCTCCCAGGTGTATCCTCTGTTTGGCTCACATAAATTTTTAATAAAAGTTATCTACAGGTTTTCAGGGGGATGTACAGTAAGCATAGGAATATAGCTAGTAATACTGTAATAACAATGCATGTTGTCAGGTGATTATTACATTTATCAGGGAGATTACTTTATAAAGTTATATACATGTCTAATCCCTATGTTTATAGTTGAAGCTAATATAATATTGTATGTCAACTATAATTTAAATTTTCAAAATTATAAAAAATTTTAAAATGAAATAAAATTTAATGTTGAAACATCAATTACTATTTTTATATATTTCCATCTATTCATTCTATATATGCATTTCAATTGGCTGTTGTGAGAATTAAATGAAATTAAATATGGAAATAACCTACCACATGGTCAGTGATAAAAATGTGAATTCTCCAGAATTCAGATTTCCACCCGTTAGAGCTCATCATAAAATCAGGAGTACAGATAAGTGTGTTATCTAGTCTATAGATAATTTTTTTTAAATGGTCAGTATTTGAAAATACTGTGAATTTCTAATTGTTACCTGCTTGAAAAAATGATTAGAATATAATAACCATTATCTCAAATACTATTAACCTAAATATAAGGTGATTTCTCATTTTCCAGTAGAAATGTCTAGAGGTAAGAGAGGGGGAGGGGCTTGCTACTTGCATGTATAAATTTATAGTCATATAGAGAAAAGTCAAATATCCACTTATAATACTTAGTGTCTTAATTAGACTATAGCTACAAAGTTAAAAATTATATCAAAACAACTAAATATCAGGTGTGAAATATCAATACATATTTATATCAATATAAATATCAGGTGATTTTTTTCCCTTACATTTCATTAAAAATTTTATTCAGACGCTTCTTATGCATCTAAAGTTTAGATTCTAAACCATCTACTTTATTTTAGAGCAACTTTCTAAGTTACTGAGTGTCTTTTTTGGGATGTCTATATGATGTATGATGTATGATGTCACTGGAAATTTAATCTGAAAAGACAATTACCATTTATGAAATGAAAGAAAAGCACTTTTTCATTTATTCTGTTAATCTATCAATGTAAGCATAAACTACAGAGTCTTTAGTCTCTAGTAATATTTACCAAATCCCTGTTGTCTATAACCAGAGATAGCTCTAAAACTAGTATTTTGAATTTTTAAAAATTAACTTATTTCAGTTTGATATCTTATCTAAATAGTATTTTTGATCAAAGCAGAGGATTGGGAGATTATGTTTTAATCTGATAGGTTTCACAAGGACTGGAATACAAAGCGAACCCTCTTTTTGAGGGAGTTTTGGGAAAGAAAACTTCACCTTATGTTCTGGCACTTTTGGTCTGTTTGAATTCCACATGTTTTGCAACTATATCACAGAGCTACAATTTACAAACATATTCTTTCATCTCTCATGTCATCTCTGAGTTAGAGATTAAACTATCAACCTCACGGGCAGAAAAAGAAACCAGCTATCATGCACAAACTACTTGTCAGTTACTTAAACTGCCTATTTCCAAAATCTATTTGAAAAAACTGAAACCAAAGTTACAGTCAGACCAGGAAATAAAAATAGAAGATCAAAATCATCAAAGAAAGCCGAAGAAAATGGCCTGTAATTACCCAGCAAGAGCACTGGGTAAAATTTTATACTCAAAGGTAGGAGAGGTATGTCAGTTATATCTCAATTTTTAAAAAGTGATTTTTTTAAAAAAAAGAAAAAACTGTAATAGAGTACATAGTTTGCTAATTAATCAAATGAAGCACTTCAAATTTTCAAACATGGTATGTGTTTCCCACTATAACATTAGGAAATGATTTCAATGCATGAGTCCCTTAGGAGGAAAGTGAAGTAAAAGTGAATATTGTCTCGGACATTCATTTCATAAAATGGAAGAAATGGTCTTTAAACACACCCCTTTGACACTACCACCGCCTCAATGCCACGGGCATTAGAGCAGTTGCTGTTATTCACAGATGTGACCCTCAGCAGATACGGTCAGGCAGGTGGCCTTCCAGTGATCTAACGTGACCATAGGAGACTTTGAGGACAGACATCCTGCCATTTGTTTTGAGCAACACAAGTGAAGCAGCTCCCATACTGACCTCATATTATTAGGCTTTAGCTAATGTTCCCTTTGATTTTTCTTAACACTGAAAATGCAGATAAGACTAGACAAATTAGTTCGTTAATTAATCGTGTGTAAGGCACACTTTTGATGATGATGGTTTTGAGAATTCCAGACATAGTAGAGCAAAGTGGGATGCATTGCCAGGGATTTAACTTCCACCTCAAAGTGCTGAATTCCTATTAGTAGGGCCAAGGTTTGGTCCCATGAGATTCAAAAGTCAGGTTGGAGCACAAAGTCATCACAATCAAATGGCTAATAATTATTATAATTGCTTATTTCCATGGCATTTTAAATCAATTGCTTTTCAAATCTTGTTTCATTTTGGTCTCACTTTGACACTAGCAGTGATATCAAGCTGATTGGCACTAGCATCATTGTTTTCAGATCAATAAAGCATCAAAAACTTGAACTGACTTTGTTTGCTCAGACACAGACCTTGTATGAGCAAAATGAACCGGGACCAGAACACTGATCTCTTGAGTTGCAGGCCGTCCTAGTTCCACTAGTGTTTGAAAAACTCAGAGAAGCTAAATTAGTCTGAAGTTTTTGATAGTGGTTGAATCACTGTGGAATTATGATAGAAAACTCTTCGGGGAAGGAACAAAGCTTATCGTCACAGGTAGGTATCAATGCAACTGTTCAAGGTAATGGAGGGAGGCAAGAAACAATGAAATTGGAATGACACTAAGACTATTTAGAAAGAACAGGAACGTGATGGGGATTAGATGCAGAAATCTTAGGAGAGATGGTAAAACAAATCCTCAAAGGCACGCATAGACAACATTGTGCAAATATCGTAACAAGACTTGGCTTTGGTGTACATGTGGACTTGCACAAAAGACTCATGCACAATGTATGCAATTATCATGGAAGTGCTTGGCCCCAGGATAAAGTTTATTATGATAGGTCAGTTTTGTGAGTGGACACATTTCCTTGTCTGATGGTGGAAGGGTGTTGTGGAAGAGCCTGGGCTTTGGGGTCAGGATGCCATGGAGCTCCGGCTCCATCACTTACTGCGTACATGAACTTGGGCAATTACTCTGGCCTCAGTTTTTTAACTCATAAAGTGGGATAAGTATGTATAGAGGATTTGTATGAGAATCGATTGAGATGGTGTGAATGAAGTACTTGCACATTGTCTAACATATAATAGGTGCTTAATAGGGGTCTCCCAGTTCAAATGTAAAGGAAAATTGTATCCAGTATTAAGAGTTGTTTGCAGCAGTAATATTGACAGAGCATAAATTCCTCAGAGAATTAAGCTGTGTTTCTAACTACTTATAAAAAAATTAATTTGGAGGTATTCTTTTTACCATCACTTGGCAAGAAAAATGAGATTAACATGTGTTTGTTTTTAATTTTTATTATTGGCCTATGTGCTTTAAATCTTAACCCTTTATCTTAATTGATATTATTTCTAATACCAACATTTATTGGACCTAAAATTTATAGCCAATAAGTTTCAGCTTCATATTTATCAAGAGTTTAAATGCATACAGAAAATGGTCAATATGTAAAGTCAATTAAATATAGTTAGAACTTCATAAGTTTGGAATTCAGATATAACCATAAAATAGCTATAACTATGTATTTGATAAAATAAAAATGACAAGAAAAAATAGAGAACAGTTAATATCAATGTAGGTTTGAAATATCATACTTTTAATTGAAAATATAGTTGACATTTACATAGAATTTGGTAAATTTACATAGTATGGCTGCATCTTAATAAATATAAACAACTCGGGCAATTTAACTCAGACATATTATTTGATTATAACCACATAACTGTATTGGAAGGCTTATTTATTTATTTACTAGAGGCCCGATGCACGAAATTCGTGCAAGAGTAGGCGTTCCTTCCCCCGGCTGCCGGCACCGGCTTCCCTCTGGACCAGGGACCTGGGCTTCCCTTGCAGCCTCGGCTTCATCCAGAATGTCATCCAGTCTAATTAGTATATTACGCTTTTATTATTACAGATTTTTCTGGGTGATCTTTAGCATTTTTGTTTCTATTATTGCTGATAAAGTAATATAAGTGAACTCTCATTTTTTAAAAATGTTACTTCAGCTAGATAAATCTTGTTGTTGTTGTTGTTTTTTGGGGGGTGGCCTTTTTTGAACTGATTTCTTTTATATAAATCATGAACAAGATTTTGACCATAAAAAACTTAAGTTTTACAAAGAATGTTTAAAGAAAAAACATGTAATACAATTATCCAATATATACGTACTAACCATATATAATCAAGTACACTATATAATAGTTAACTATTACATTAAGAAAGATATGGAAGTTCAAGATTCATTTTATCTTGAAAAGAATGATGCAAAGAATCTAGCTAAGGAAGGGGACAGACAATAAAAATAGTGTGTTTCCACACAAAAGCATTTCAAGTTTATCATTTGATTTTCAATTTCTTTAATATAATGAATCAGAAGTATTACTATGAAGAAAAATTTCCTAAGATGAAAATTAGATTCTTTAATATATTGACTAGAGATTAAAATTATGTAAATATAATGTAAAAATGAAAAATTAATATTATTTTATATAGGATGGTTTTTAAGTTAAAAATAAAATATACGGTTGGAGAAATATAGAATGTCTTACTATTATAATCAATAAAATATTATTGCACTAAAAGTAAGATGTATAAATTAAAATAATTATTAGCACATTATGACTTAGTTATGTTTACAACATGATTTTAAAAACAAACATTGTTTGCTTACTGATTTAGTATAAAAATCGGGAGCTTTGCTTCACAGTTAGAAAGTCTTAAGAATTATTTTTCCTTTTCTTCTCAAATGAGAAATCCAATTAATTTTTCTTAAAAAATTGCCCATTGACTTATTAAACTAACGGCAAGCTAACCCAAAGAGAATACAGTAAGGAATTTGTGTTTTAATCAGAAATAAAATTGGAAAGGGGTTTAACGTTTATAATATTTCAATCATTAGATTAATAATAAATATGTAATCTATAACATTCCATCATGCCTTTGTAAATATATGATGTCTTGTTATATATTCTGACATTATATCTGCAAGAAACTCTAGAACCATCGCTTTTAACATTATCCCACTTGTATATAAATTTTATTCAGTAGATGCAAACAAAGAAAATGATGGAGCTCTAAAATAGCTCAGCAGCCTTATAGGGTAAATACAAATATCATAGGAGACACTCAGAGTCAAAATATGGTGTATTTAAAATATGGTATAATAGTCATGTTTAGACTTCAAATGAAATTCCAAAATAAAATGTGCTTTTGGTGAATCTTTTCAATGGCGAAATGAAATTCTGTTAAGGGCATTTACTCGCTAGATTAAGATAAGTGTTTCTGAAAATAATCAATGAAAATTTTAATAGAAATTTTGGAATTATTGCTATTTTGCTTCTAAATTCAAGGCATCATAAACAATTTGGAGGTGCAGTTTTCAATACTGCCCTAAAAAATCTGGAGCGGTTCAGATGTGAAACCTATTAGGAGAACTCTATTACTTCAGAACTGGGCGTGAGGTCCATATTGGAAGGTAAAAGAATAACTGGATAAAGGAAGTACATCTGGTGGTAGATTCCCATTAAAACAAGTGACTGTATATTTTTTAGAAAGAAAAGAAAAACTTCCTCCTGGCATTTATTTTTATGAAAATAAGATAATTTGGTATATTTCAGAATCAGTTAATAGAGAGTGACTTCCCACAGAGTTACAGAACAGGAGACTGTGTGGCCAAAAAGAGCTTAAATTACAAAAGTCATAGCATGGGATAGGAAAGCACCTTATTTTTTATTTTTTATATTTTTAATTTTTATTGAACTTATTGGGGTGACATTGGTTAATAAAATTATACAGGTTTCAAGTGTACAATTCTATAACACATCGTCTGTATATATATTACATCGTGCATTCACCACCCAGGCAAGTCCCCTTCCATCACCATTTATCCTCCCTGTACCTTCTTCTACCTCCCCTACCCCCTTGCCCTCGGGCAGTCACCATAGTGTTGTCTGTGTCTATTTTGGTTGTTGTTTATTTGCACTGTAGAAGCCACTAAGGATTCTCATCTGAAGAGAGATTATCTCTTCTCCTACCCCCCTATCCCCGCCATCCATCCTCCGCCTATGATAGCATGAGGGAGATTAAAACTGAATAAGTTCACAAATGCTGGAGCGGTTAAAGGTCATCCCCCATTTTAGCACATGGAGAAGGAACAAGGGCCAAGTTTTCATTCAGGCTGTGCCAGTTAATAGCTGTGACGTTGGGCGAGTTATGAAACTTCTTTTCACATCTGAAAAGAAGAACAATAATAAGTAGCACACGCTATATTGTGGATGAAAGGCCATGATAAGCACTGACTCAATGGCAGCTTTCCTTCCTTTTACCGTGTGCTAGGTTGTTCCAAACCACACAATGCTTGTGTGTCTCTAATTCTGAATTGCTGTTCCATTTTCCCCACAGATAAAAGCTATGGTCCAGGGTACTATCCCAAGCCCACCATTTTTCATCCTTCAGCTGCTGAAGTAAGCCTTCATAAGGCTGGAACACATATTTGTCTTCTTGAGAAATTTTTCCCTGATGTTATCAAGGTGTACTGGAAGGAAAAAAATGGCGATACAATTCTGGAATCTCAGCAGGGAAATACCATGAAGACTGATGACACATACATGAAATTCAGCTGGCTGACCGTGAGTGAAGAGTCAATGAATAAAGAACACAAATGTATCGTCAAACATGAGCATAATAAAGTGGATCAAGAGATTCTTTTTCCTGCAATAAAGAAAGGTATGTGTGTGTGTGTGTGTGTGTGTGTGTGTAATCTTCCCAGAACACTTTTTTGCCCCCAAAGGGAATGCCCCATGTGTCTGTCATGTACTAATAATAATTATAATTATATATACATATATCTTCCTCAAATGTTGCTACATTTAATAGTAGCATAAATGTCCTGCTATTGTCCCATAGAATTAAAAATAGTATAGGTTTTAGGACATAAAAAAGATAAAGAAATAAAAATTTTACTTTTCTCAGCCTCAGTTTTATCATCCAAAGTTAAAGTCACATGATTTTTTAGGGTTGTTGATGAAACAACCTACATGACAGCACCAGCAATTTAGCACACAAGAAATGCTCAAAAAGAGATTCCACTTTTGATTATCTTACTTGGTCAGGAAATAAGAATAATCATACATCTTTCCGGAATTTTCTGCTCAGCAAGCAAAGTCACTCATGCCTGAGTCTTGCTATACTTGAAGTATAACCCATAAACAATGAGTCTTGGGCGACTGATGGTGTCATTCTGAGGGAGTTGGATCAAGGTTCACCGAAAAATAGAATAATTTAGACCTTCAGTGTTATTACGGTCCTAGGTTTTCCAGATTCGTATTTTATGTACCTTTGCAGGTAAATTTTGGTGAGGCTAGTGCCTAGAAACATATTTCCATTCTACATGAGTATATTTCTTGCCACTGGTATTGCTGCTCAACAAACATGTAGTGCAGTACTAGCGTGTGTCAGGCCTGGAAGGGTATGGATGAATACACTAGGACGAATCTCTGTTCCCAGGAGGATGCACACAGTGAAGAGAACGTAGTCTTTCCCTAAACATTCAGGGTCACCTGGGATTCAGGCATGATGTCACAAAGGAGTGCCTTTGATGCAGATGCTGTACATATTTAGCCAGTGTGAGCAGAGGGCCGAATGTGCCCTGGCCCCGGCCGTGGTCCCATAACTCCCTGGACTCAGAACTTCAAGTCCTGAGTATTAACACAACAGACCAAGGTCCCGTAAGAAGGAACCGGTTGGATCTTTACCCTGTGGCTAACAAGCCCTTTCTAAGCAGTGGGAAATGAGGACGTCAGGCGTGCTAAGACCTTTGCTGTGTACCAGTCTTTATCTTACACCTGAGTTTCCCCAGAGACCAAGTCAGGTTTGAAATAATGTCTGTGAGATGCTTGCTCTCAAAAATATAACACGAATGTATTTATTCATGTATGTGTATTTGTATCCTTTCCTAAATCTAGGGTAAGATTGCCGAAACAGCCCTAATTTTCCTATTTCTGTGGCTAAGAAACAGAAAGAAAGCAAACAGGCAATGCACAAGTTTAATACAATCACTGGGCTTAAATGTCCTATTAGGTTTTGATTTTTCCAGTGACCAGGGTTGACTATCGTAAAGAAGAGAAGGTTTTGGTTACAAGGTGTTTTACTTGGCGTCTAATTTCTGAAACAAATGTCTCATGGCAACAAAGCTAACGAGGGTGTTTCTGTTCATGTCATTCTATGGCAAATTTCTAATGCTGTTTCTCGGAAGTTTTTTGCTTGTCGTTTTTTGTTCTGAAAATATAACATGGAAGCACAAATCAATGAAGTGATTTTGAAGAGAGAGAAAACTAACCTGGCCCAAGTTTTCTGCCAGATTAGGAGAGAGAATTAGGATACACACACGGATTTCATGATGAAAAATTGTTACTTTATTGTTTGTACCTCAATCAGTGCATGGTGCTAAGAGATTTTTATTTATCTCTTAATGAATAAAGTCACTGCAAGGAAAATAAAGAGACTTTTAAGACACAGTAAAGTGAGTCCTTGGGGGACATTTTAACATCTAAATGTGATTATACTAACATTTTCAATCTTGCGATTTGCCACAAAGTCTGTACCTCAGACCCATTTTTTTTAAAGCACAGCAATAAAAGACCTCGTTGAGTGCATGAAATTGCATACCAGAACCACATCCGTATGGACAAGAACATATCTAGTAGAAAAGGATGAGCCAAAGCTACCATTGCGACTGTTTTCCTCCACCCAACGGTCAATGCTCTCTTTAAGAAATTTTGTCTTTGTATATATATTTGCCTTACAAAAAAACATTGTAGATAAACACAAGTCTCACCTCAGGTTTTACATATTCAAATAACTGTAAGTGTGACTTAGTTTATCTGAAAAGAATTGCCCTGAAATGCCAAGCTCCTGAGGTAAAAAGGTCATTTGCTAAGCATCACTAAGACATCTGGAAGAGATGTTCTAGTGTCTACAATGGTGGGAGTATGCTGTTTCTCTATAGATTATTTTCTATTTCTATGGATTATTTTTACAGAGTACTTTCCACATGTTCTCTCCCATGTAATCTCCCACAACAGTCTTCTGGATGCTGGCTCTGCCAGTCACTGGTGTGCCTCTCAACAAGTCACTAATACTCTCTAAACCCCACTCCTCATCTGTGACATGGGGCCCTCCAAAATACAACTCACCCAGTGTTACTGGGGGATTAAATGAGATAATGCATGTGAAGCATTTGACATGCACTGTGCCACACAACGTCACACAGTAATAATCACTTCGTAGACATTAGCATTTATTAATATTGTTGTCATGTCCACAAACACAACTGCAGAAAATTATGTGGGTGAGCTGGGGATATTGGGGAAATGCATGATTTGGAAAGACATGGCTTCAATGTCTAAACCAGACTCCTTCAAACATGTAAGATTCTGTTGTGGGTCCTCAATTAAGCAAATTTCTTTGAGTAGCAACTGTTCATGTCAGCAGTGTGTGCTGAAGACTGTAGAGCAGCTCCTTTTTCTGTTCATTTTTTTCCCATTCAACAAGTATTTATTGAACAGTTACTTTGCGGCAGGCACTGTGCTCGGAGCAATGAGTGCAGGAGGAAAACAGGTAGACTTTAATCCAGTTAGGATTAAAAAGTTAAAATGTACCCTTCATGACCTTCAACATCTTCACATGCAGAAACACAGTATATGTATTAGGTCTACTGAATTACATAGAGTCTGGGCAACTATTCCTGGAATTGTGGGGCTCATATTTTTAATGGCTCTCTCTTCTCTGTTGGTAGATTCTATCTATCAATCATCTATCTATCTATCTATCTATCTATCTATCTATCTATCTATTATCTATATATCTGTCTATTCAGACACACAGTCAAATAATGGTTACTAACAATTCATTAATAGTGCTCTCATTTCTTGTAGAGGCTGCTACTAATCATGTAAGAGAAGTTTATCTGGAAGACAAAAGTGGTAAGTTCTTGCATTTTCTCCCTTCTGATCAACTTAAATTTTGAACTTTCCTGGCTTAAGGTAGAAAAATCAGAATGGCTGGATTTTGCAGAATAGACTGAGTGATATTGTAAGCCAACCCATCATTTCCTATTAGCTATCTTAACACAGTAAATGCTATATTTTGGTATTAGATGACTGTGGGGTGTGGTGATACGCTCACAATTATTTCAACACTGGATTTTATTCATCTGCATGACTTTTGTTTCTATTGATTAGGGAACACATGCTATCAATATGCTTCTAGATTTTTATCTTTGGTCCTTGCTAGTAGTTAATAACACGAACTGATATTTACTGAGCAGTTCTTATACAGAAGGCGTAGTATTGTGTTTTGAATGCATTTCCTTGTTCAATTATCATAATACTCCTGTGAAGTGGTAACTATATTTTCCACCATTTTACAGATGAGAGAGTGAGCTAAAATTAAGTCCCGTACACTGTGCCACACAGCTAGATCTGGGCTGTCAGCCCAGGACACCTGAGTCAAGAGTTCATAAACTTCCTCAGTTCTCTATTCTTCCTTTATTTTTTTGTATATATATTTTTTATTGGTTAAGATATTACATATGTGTCCTTATCCCCACGTTACCCCTACCCCCCTCCCCCGCTCATGCCCTCACCCCCCCGTTGTCCGTGTCCATTGGTTAGACCCATATGCTTGCATATAAGTCCTTTGGTTGATCTTTCCCCCTTACCCCCACCCTCCCCTACCTTCCCTCCAAGGCCCGACAGTCCAATCAATGCCTCTCTGTCTCTGGATCAGTCCTTGTTCATCAGTTTATGTTGTTCACCATATTCCACAAATGAGTGAGATCATGTGGTATTTAGAAAGCCGAAAGCCAAGACCCCAGGTCACCGTGGTCGGCAAACCAGGGCTCGCGAGCCACATGCGGCTCTTTGGCCCCTTGAGTGTTGGTCTTCCACAAAATACCACGTGCGGGCGCGTGGTACAGTGCAATTGAAACTTCGTGGCCCATGTGCAGAAGTCGTTATTTTGTGGAAGAGCCGGTATTTTGTGGAAGAGCCACACTCAAGGGGCCAAAGAGTCGCATGTGGCTCGTGAGCCACGGTTTGCCGAGCCGCAGTTTGCCGACCACTGCCCAGGACAATGGATGCATGGCTGGGGCGGGTTTGGGGACAGTGCATGGGCTTCTGAGTACTACAGACTGGGCTTCCACCCCAACTCTTTTAATAATTAGTTGCATGAATATGGGTACTAACATTTTATGGGAAATACTTTACTCATCTGCCAACCAGGAATACTTACACCTAACTCAGTTCTTAAAGAGATAAGGTCACATATGTGGAATGTCTAGCGTAAGGTATCTCAGTTAGCTGGCATAGAATATGTACTAGTTTCTGGCCCTTTCTCCCTACAAATGCACACAGAAAGCAACTAGAAGCACTAGCTCTAGTCCTGCTGATCTCTCCTCCATTTCCAATATCAAGGGGGCTCTGGACCTCAACTAATACCTTCTGTGACCAAGGGCAGGAGTTCTGAGCACATCACCTCTTGAGGCCCCTTTCCACACCAAGTGCTAATAATTCTGGAGTGCTGAGGCTGTGAAGATAAAGCATGTCAAAGGGAAATTAGCACAGGAAAGGACGTGACCTTGTGGTTCATTGAGTAGCAGTCTGGCCCTCCATCACTGTCGTCAATCATATCTTGACATCATATATTTTTTGCAAAACTTCAAAGGATATTAAGTGCAATTACCCTATAGTATCATAGCCCCAGTGAGAGACATTCAGGAAAGACAGGTGAGCCATCACCTCTTAAAGTTGCAGAGAATTTGGATTAACCACTTTCTTCCAGTTAACATAATACCCTCTACTAAAACCTCGCACCCACCCCGTTGTGAACACCACCAAATTTTCATGGGTTGTACCCTTGGTAAGAATCATATTGCATGCACATGTAATGCCTCAGATACTTCTAAATCAGCAACTCAACTTTATACTCATGCTTAACCCTTTGATATCTGGGGTATTATTTATTGTACTTGGAGATGCAGAATTACAGAGTAACTAAGAATGTGATCTGTAAATTCATGTTGCTGGGATTGAAATCCATCTTCTGGTACTTATTAAATGCATGACATCAGGCAAATTACTTATCTCTCCCCAATTTTTTTTAAAGCAGGAATTAAAATAACAACCTCATAGGTTGTTGTAAAAATATATCAGATTAATGCTTTGCATACAAAGCTCTCAGAGTGTTTAGCGTTTCCTTAGTGGTTAATGAATATTGGCTATTATTAATTAGAGATATGGTGGGAGTGAAGAGACGCTAAAAGCTATTTACCACAAATATTTTCTTCTCAGTGGACTCACTCATTAAAAATGCAACCTTAGTTTTTAACATTTTGGAGCGCTCTAAGTGAATTTAGCAGAGGTTGTTGGTTGACTTGGCCTGCAAGCTGGATTCTACATTGTCTTGTTGTTGTTGGTAGAGGTGGTAGATGTTTGCTTATTTGGGGGGTTGGTGGTGTGAGGGTGTCACTTTAATAAAAATCATAAGAAGTAAATAAGTGTGACCCCTCCCATTAACATTTCCTACCCTTTCAAAACAACAGGTGAGACTAATAAATTGACTTCTCCTAGATATACTTCAGCTGCAGCTCATCAATACCTCTGCCTACTACACCTACCTCCTCCTCCTCCTCAAGAGCCTGGTCTACTTTGCCGTCATTTCCTTCTGTCTGGTTCGGAGAACAGCGGTCTGTGACCATGGGAAGAGTTCATAACAGATGATGGCACAAAAGGATCAATGTTCTTTTCCTTTTTTTCTTTTTTTCCTTTTGCCTCTGAACCTGTCTGCTGAGGATCTAGCTGGACTTTCTTTCTGGGTTTGGATGATTTCAGTTCACATGTGCATTTTTCTATTATGTCATTTTTGCATAATGGTTTTCAAACCACTGACCAAAAGAAAATTCCACTGTGTAACAAGAACAAATTCTGCCATGACTCAGGGGCAGGGACAAAGGGTACCCTTTAGCACCATCTTCCCATAATCCCCATCAGCTCCTCTAGCCAAGCCTAATAATCACTCCTTCTGAGAACAGACAGCACGCAGCCTCTAGTCACACTCCTTAGTGCTTTTGCACCAGATAACTGCCCTGAACTTTCCATTTTACACACCCAGAAGATGCCATATTTGCTACTTGAATTCTGTATTTTGTTTTTCATAAGACAATAAATTTTTTTAAAATCACAAGTCTACTCTTGTCTATGTACTCTAATTTGATGAATCTAATCGGAAGTCCAAGATAAGAAAGACATGACAAGTGAGGTATCAAATGCAGTGCTGGCGTGATGGTCCACACGACATTTCTAGTTCGTTCCCTGAGACGGTCGTTCGGATGCTTTCTCTGGGGCACTGGTTCCTAGGGGATCCGGTGCCAAATGAAGGTGCCCAGCTTCCTCCTCTTTCAAAGGTTTGGTTTGGGACATTCCAATGGTGACACTGTATCACCTGCCATGATTTGCACTGTGTGCTCAGATCTATACTAGTGTTTCTCAAACATCAAGTTTCCTGACCCTCGCAATCACCCTGTGAGAACCGCCCTGGCATTGGAGAGGCAGTGTGAGGGAGGGGTGAGGCACGTCGACTCTGAACCCTAAGTGCCTGGGTTTGAATCCTGGGTCTAGCATTGCTCTCTGTGTGACCTCAGACACTCTTTGAATTCTATGTGCCATAATTTTCTCATTTGTAGAATGCAGTTACAGTGCCTCGTCTCCTCGATTTGTGTGAATTAGTTGGGTTAATAATTTTTGGTGCTTGGTGCATGTAAGTCCTCAATAGCATTAGCAGCTATTAGTAGCTCTACTTTAGAAATAATAGATCACACACACACACACACACACACACACACCCTGACAGTCATCTCTAATCTTATTTCCCGGCGGAGAGGTTAGATGGGGATGGAATAGTGCCTCAGTGAGTTTCTACTATAAACCGGGCAATCCCATGAGTCCTCTCAGAGCCCTTGGAGGTGGGTACAGTCCACGTTTACAGACTGGAGAGATTGTTATCTGCTCCTGGTCACCATTTTGTAAGTAACGGTCATTTGAAGCCAGGTCTCTCTAAACTCAGAGCCGTATTTTGTGACCTAGCATCATGTGGCCTCCCCTTCACCTACTTTCAACTGGGAAAAACAAAACAAACATGCACTGCTTCTTTACTACACGCATCCTCCAAGGAGCCAGGGAGAATTTTCTTAAGGACTTGCAGGTGCACCTACATTTTCTCCTGGGAGAACCATAATCACTCCCTTGATTAGCAACAGGATGGAAATCCTGCCTTATTTTATGTGTCCCAGATTTGCAGCTGCTCTTTGGGGGTGTTAATGAAGTGAACTGAGAGTCCCAGGCAGAGCAGGACCTCCGATGGTGCTCTCTGGGTCCCGAGGTCCTCAGAATCACCGTGTAGAAGCCTCTGTATGTCTGTGGGCATTTCTGAGGTAGGAGGTGGGTACACTTCCTTTTTGGTCCAGGACTTTTCATCACAGCAAGACTGCCACACGGTGTGGTGGGAGGAACACTGGGCCAGAAGTCTCACCTCCCACTCCATAGTTAGAGCCTCAGTTACTTGGTCTGGGTCTAACTAGCTGTGTCATTTATTCTCTTTTTAAAAAATATTTGTATTGATTTCAGAGAGGAAGGGAGAGATAGAAACATCAATAATGAGAGAGAAACATTGACCGGCTACCTCCTGCATGTCCCCTACTAGGGATCAAGCTCACAATCTGGGCATGTGCCCTGACCGGAAATCAAACTACAACCACCTGTTTTATAGGTCGACGCTCAACCACTGAGCCACACTGGCCAGGCTTTGACCATGTCATATTGCCTAAGTTTACCCATCTTTATGAGAAAGTGTTCAATTTAAATAATTTCACATTTCTAGCATATGTACAAATTCAATGATTAATATCCTAATCTAGTAATAATAGCAAACATTTGCACAGTGCTTAATACCTAAGTATGTGTTAACATTTAATTCTCACAAGAATCCTATGAAACAAGTACAATTATCTCTGTTCTACAGATTGGGAAACTGAGGCAAAGAGGGGATAAAGAATGTCCCCATAGTTAGCTAATGACAGGAAGAGCTTGGATTTGAACCCAGGAAGCCTGGTTACCGGAGCTCTGCTCTTACATCTGCAATAGTTGCTACTAGAGTAGAAACAGGTTAATTTTATTTTCAATAAAGACAGGAAAATTTCCTTCCTTATTAGACTAAGAGCTAATGAAGAGAACTACTTCTTTACCTGTCTATGCTTTCTCTCCTTACTCCTATGCTGTTCATACAATTAGAGGGTTATAGGCCAACCCGCCACACAATTTTTCTCATGTTGGGAAGATTTTTATATGCTGACCTCACACACACCAATCAGACATCTGTGATTAGAGTTCATGGCACTTTGTTGGGTGAAATAAATACCAGAACAACAGGTGGCATGCACAGGTGTGCAATGAGAAACTTAGGTAGAGATTTCTACAATTCCTGATAAAAGCACTCACGGCCCAATAGTCTTTATAGAGCTAGAGTACTCCATACACTTCTCAGCCATAAAAGAAGGGAAACACCAAGGCAACCATTCTCAAAACTTTTCCAATTATGAAGTCTCTCCACTGTTTTAGATTCTTTTCTCCATAAACTCATAGATTTTTGTGAAGGCTTTCTGTCAATCAAGCAAGCCACAATGATGTAATACTCGATTTTCCCTTTACATTCATCAAAGTCCTATATAATTGCCAATTAGAAATTCTGAATAATAAGAGACAGTCAGAGATACTATACCCACATGATACAATTCAGCCAAAAAGCTAGAAACTCGACACATCGTTAGCCATGAAAACTTATCTGGGTAAATGCATGGTCTCTGGCGGGTTCTGTTAGGCTTTCTTCTGTTTTGTTTGAATAACAGCCAAGTACCTACAACTTAGTGAGCATCAGGAATTCTACTCGGCAGTTTGCATGCTCCGTCTAATGCTCTCACTGTACCACAGCACAGGTATCATGCTGTGCTGATAAGAAGACTAAGTGTAGAGAGGCTACTATGCCAGAGGTTTAACATGGAGTAGTGCCTGCATCCACATGATTCCAGGTCCATCTGACTGAAAATCTGCTGTTTTGCCCATTATGTCAGCGGCTGTCCTCTTGAAGCCTTTAAAAATCACTGAGGCCGGCGTGGGTCAGTGGTTGAGCATCGACCTGTGTGAAACCAGGAGGCCACGGTTTGATTCCCAGTCAGGGCAATGCCCGGGTTGTAGGCTCAATCCCCAGTAGGGTGTGCAGGAGGCAGCGGACCAATGATTCCCTCTCATCACTGATGTTTCTATCTCTCTCTCTCCCTCTCCCTTCCTCTCTGAAATCAATTAAAAATATTTTTAAAAGATCACTGAGGTCCAGACTGCATCACAGGCCAGGCACCGGACTTTAATAAAACCTTTAGTAATTCTAATGTGTAACCGGTTTGAGGCCAGCAGGTGACTGAAATAGCTCCTGAGCTCCAGCGCTGCTGTCTCAGCTCTGAGGCAGCCGGGAGCCATCACAGCCCCTTCCACAGGACAACGTGCTGCAACCTGGACAGGTACCTAAAATTGTTAGGTAATACCTCCATGTGGTTCAAACATCACAGCACCTGTAAAATGCACTATCTTGCAGACCACATTTTTGTTTCTCGTGCATCCTTCTTGTTTTTATTATGCAATCAATGCACATATATAAGTACATATCATGTTTATATACATTCTAATTTCCTCCCTTAGCACACAAAGGGAGTACACAATACACATTATTCTGCACGTGTCTTACTTATACATCCTAGAGCGCTTGTGTCAGGACATAGGGCCACTTAGCTGCGTATTTCCTTTATAAAATCAGTTCTCCGTGATAGACTGTTGGCTTATTCCCAATCCTGTTATTAAAAAATGCTGAAATAAATATTAGTGTTTTATGTCATGTTGAATGTGTGCATTGGTCATTTCTATCTCAATGTAGGTAAATGCTGAGAGTGTGCTAATGCCAGGACTTGGCTAACATGACAACTGAAAAACAGTCTCATCGTGCCTTTAATTTGCTTTTCTCTTATGAGTGAGGGTAAGCATCTTTTCATATATTTAAAGTTTATTTATGTTTTCCTTCTGTGAAATATTTGCCCAGGTCCTTTGGCCACTTTTTCTATTAATAATACTGACAAGTATGACACTCATCCATGTTTCTGTGTATGTCCATAGGCATAGGCATAAAACAAAATGTTCAATGTATGGTTGGTGGGTTAAAAAAAGAAATGGGATTATATTTTTCTATTTTCTGCAATGAATCCTTTAAAAATAAAAACTTTTACATATTAGAATTAAAACAATGTCTCATTTAAAATTGAAAAGATTTTGTTTGTTTATAATCAGCTTTAGGTCCTGGGAAACCAAGTAGAGGCTCCCATTGGGAAACAAAATAAGACCAAACAGATACAAGAAAGATGAAATTTAATTAGAGCTCCTGCTTGATTCTCATTGATTTGATCAAACCTCATTAGGCCAAATACCCCCCTATTTGCAACCAGTGTGCCACAAGGATTTTTAAAGCAGTAAATACCTGACTTTTTAGTCAGGGGCACTGATCTCTTTTCCCTTAAATTGTCAAATTAAAAAATGACAACAGCCCTAACCAGTTTGGCTCAGTGGATAGAGTGTCGGCCTGTCGACTGAAGGGTCCTGCGTTTGATTCCGGTCAAGGGCATGTACCTTGGTTGCAGGCACATTCCCAGTTGGGGGTGTGCAGGAGGCAGCTGATCTATGTTTCTCTCTCACTGATGTTTCTAGCTCTCTATCCCTCTCCCTTCCTCTCTGTAAAAAAATCAATAAAAAATATTTTTAAAAAAATGACAACAGCCAACACAATAGCCTGCTGGTGTAAATGCCCTGTTTTAAACCGTAAGTACACAGGTCATTAAAGAGTTGCATCTTATCGATTATACCACATAATAAGATTGCATGTGATTGGTTAATTCTTGGTACCAGAAATCCTTATATACAAGTATATGCACCTGATTTTTTAAAAAGTACTTTGAGCAAAAAGGGTAATTACTCTTATTATTGTTTTTATAAATCAATCAAAATTATAACTACTTTTTGTCAGATTAGCAAAAAACCTATTTTTTGTTGTGCTGCAGAATATTACCAATTCGTTTATGTGTGCCATGAAATGAGAAAGATTGAAGATCGCTGACTTAACAGAGTTGAAACTATTTCTGCAAGGGGGAAAGGGAGAAGCAGAGGGAACTTAAAAATCACTGAGTGTTTTGTGTGGCTAATTTCACAGCTGGGGCACTGCTAGCCAGTATCTCCTGTGGCTTCAAACTTCGTGGCCACTTCCTTCCTCAACTCAACGTGGGCTGCCCTGAAACCGGAGGCGAGGCGGAGAGGAGGAGAGCGGAGGTGGCGGTGGAGGAGCCAGCGTGTGTGGGGGAGGGTGCTGGTGCAGCTGATGGTGCTTCATGTTCTCAGGCAAATGTGGTTGATTCGTGGAAAATGCTCCAACTCAAACCGGCCCCCACTGGTTGGGTCTATACCAGTGGTGCCTGGGGTGTTATAAGATAAAATAAGGGCAGTTAAACCACAACCACTTTCAAAAGGCCACAGCTAATGTGAAGAAAATATCCATCTACAGACACAAGCAGGCAGTCGTTCAGACATGCACTTAGGCTGTGGGGAGGGGGGGTCCCCACTTTTTATATACAAGGCTTACCCCCATTACTCCTAGACCAGGAGGTTAATAAGGCTTACCCTATGCGAGTTGGAAATTTTATGCCCAGGACTGTTCAGATGCTGCCCTTCAGGCCATCACAACGCTGTTCCGGAGGAAAGAGCAAACAGCACTGGATAATCCCTAACATTTCACCAAATATCTGGACTTTTCCATGGTATTTGATTTACTGAGCCTGTACCTTTCGGGTTTCATTTTCTCAGTGTAGACAGGGTGACACTGTGTCTGTGAACCTCGTAGCATGGACAGACCATGGATGTGGGCAAGGGTGATGAGCTTTCTCCTTCATGAGAACACAGCGATAGCAAGGCCCTACTGTATCCCTGAATGTCCTATATGGAATCCTGTAAGTCCCCCTAAAGAAAGAAAAATACTTCAGTCTACCTGCGCAAAGCTTAATAGAGGACATGCACATCAGATAAAAGTGTGATTGGGGTCAAGTAGAAGAGGGCTGGTCAGCACTGTGAACATAGAGAGCAAATGTGCCCCCCCCACCCATGCACGGTACAGAGGGCTGCCCAGGCCCACAAGCTCGATCTGCACGGGCCTGGGGGAAGTGTGGCTCTATTGTTGAGAACAACGCTTCGGGCTTTCAGTCTCACTTCACGGCACATTCAAATCAGACACCTCCTTCTTCTCGGTCTGTGCTCTGAGAGCCAAGTGCTGGGAGCCTTGGCTCCCTATGACGATGGGCTGTACCCCACGGGTTCAGTCCAGCACGTTTGAGTGAGAGCTCTTTCTCAGGTTAAGTTAAAGCAAGGACATCCGGTTTAGGCATCATCTGAGGGCGTGGTGTAGGAGTCCATTCCTGAGACAGGGCCTTCTCGCTGTGAGAATACCAGTGAGTCCTAAGGTTTTAGTCCAAAGCTGGCCCCTGGAGCTTTCCCTCAACCCCTTTCTCCACCATGAGAAGCTCTTTAGGCTCCAGCCTCCTGGAGAGCCTCCCCCATGACATTCCTGTCGTTTGGCCCATTCTTAGAACAAGCACAGATGGACTTGATATCTCCCTGCAATCGGTCGGGTTTGGAGGCTGAAGAAAGCCAAGGTCTCTTAGATGAGCATCTGGAGGTGGCCAAGCACTTCAAATCTCATGGGTTCTCCGGCGACCAGGCTAGAGTGGGCTCCTCTGCATGGCTGGCTGTGGATGGGCTGGTCAGTGCCTCACACAGTGTAAGGAAGATGCCTTCTCTAGGACAGATTGGATGGTGGAGACATTGGATCCCAAGGAGTTTGACTTTGATGACCTGTTTAGATGACCTCGAAACATGCCCTATGGGCTTTGGCTACATTGGATGACACATGTGATCTCTGTGACTCCCTAGACCAGGAGATTAATAAGGCATCCCCCTCACCCCTAGACAATGAACCCAATTAGCCATCTTTCAGAAAGTTTACCCTAAACTGACCAGGTTGCCCCCTTCACCTTCCTGCAACCTCTTCCCTTCTCCAGGGGCCCTGTCCATTCTGGATCATTCCTTTAGTTTAGAGTTGGGCAGTGAAGCGGATATTTCTGAAGGAGATAGGAAGTCCGACTCAACTCTTTATTACCATCATCCCTCAATGCATGAAAGAGGAGGATGTCACCTCAGACAACGACAGGGGCATCTCTGAGCCCAGAGTCCTATCTGGGCTCTCCCCAGCAATAGTCCCTCTGCCTCCAGGACCTCTCCAAGTAGGTACGTTCCTGCTGTCTCTAGGCACCCCCTGTGGCTCTGCCCACCCCAAACCCTACAGCTCTCCTGGACATAATATGGTAGCAGCAAAAGTAAAGGGTAAGAAACTAGATAAAAAGCTGAAAAAATGGAGCAGAGCAAGCCAGCAGCCACCAGGTACCACCAGAAAGAGGGGAGAGCAGGAGGCCCTCCCTGACGAGTATGAAGAGCAAGACAAGAAAAATGAGGCTCTGAAAGAGAAGGCAAATTCCTTGGCCAAGGAGATCCGGTATCGGAAATATTTGCTAGAAGAGGTCCGCAAGGCAAGGGGAAAGGAAAGGGCCCCCCGTTAGGGTAGTCGGTGTGTGCTTGTACATTGTACATAGGGGCTTGTGCTGGAGCTGTGTGTTGTAATAAAGTATTCTGCAGTGAAAGTAAAAAAAAAAAAAAGAAGCTCACAATAAAATGTAGTCTACTTTAATTCAAACTAGGTAAACACAAAGGGAAGATGATAGCAATGATTTCATAGTTGGGTTCAGACGCCTTTAGAACCACACTGCTAAGAAAGATACTATTCATGATAAAAATACTACAAATGTCTGGTGACCTATTATATGTATTCACAATTCCTCCTTGTCCCCCTTTTGTAATTCCCACACTTTTGGCCAAATGCAAAATGAGAAAAATAAAACTAATAATTTTGATATGTTGGATTTTATTACTTTTAAAATTGTACAAAGGGCACATGTGCATGAGTTAAAAAAGACAAAGAAAATGTAGGGTGTTAAAAAAAGAAATCTGAGACATGAAACAAAACAATTCCACTCTGTGAATTCAAATAAAAAGGTATTTGCTTACCAAAGAAGTGTTATGCTAATATATTAAGAAGTCCTTTGATTAGGATACAGTATAAGACCATTCTGCAACTACTCATTAACAGGTCAGACTCAATCTCACGAATACAGGATGGATCATGACATTATCTTACCAGCCACAGGCAGGTTACTAAACATTTGTGAATATGATACAGTGTCTGTGAGGTATTACGATAAATAAATTCTTTATTAGCCAATCAATCACGTCAGCAGTGATGTCACCATTTCAACTTTCCAGACGGAGACCCCATCTCTGGTGCTTTTTGCCTCCGGTGATTCTCAACGAGGGTTTTTCAAACTTAGAAAAAGAAAGAACACAAAAATATTTGAGATGTGTTGAAAGGAAGAATGCTACACGTTGCCTTATGTTTTCATAGCAAAGTCTGTGCCTAAGATGGCTGTGTTACAGACACTTAGAGGGCAATGGTGTGGTCATGAGAGAACTTGTTTTAAATACTGTGAAAAGGATCAGCTCTTCACATGACTGCATGTCTGCTTCGTCTCAGGACCGTTGTGCAAAGAAGGGAAGGAGTATGGGGTGCTGCTGATGCAGGTGCAGGGCCTGCACTCGCCAGGACTCTGGCCGCCTCTGCCGGCCCGTCTGCCACTATGCTGGCTTCCCAACTATGCTGAAGTCTGTCTACTATGCTTACCTTCTTTTAAAAATGCTATTATTAGTTTATTGAGATCTAATTGACATATAACTTTATATTAGTTTCAGGTATATAACATGATTCAGTATTTGTACATATGACAAAATGATTGCCACCGTAAGTCTAGTTAACATCCATCACCACACAGAGTTACAACATTGTTTTTTTCTTCTGATAAGGACTTTTAAGATCTACTCTCTTTCCCCTTCTGTGTTTAAATAATTAGAGTCACTGCTACTACAATTTATGTTTATTATCTTCTTGTATTTCTGAGGTTAAATGTTCTCCTTTGATGATTTGAAGGGATTTAACAACGTGCCCCACACTGAGGTACATCAAGTGCTACTGCTTTGGATGACTGATCACATCTTCCATCTCAGGAGCTCCACAAACTCGAGACATTCAGTGCAGGGTCAGAGCGCACACTGGAACCAGACTGGATGGCCTGCATCCTGGCTCTGCCACTCCCTCCCTATCTGTGCGACCTTGAACAGGTTACCCACCCACCCACCCTAACTCTCAGCTGCCTCAAGTGTAAGTGGAGACAGCAGCAGTACCACAGCTCATAGGACTGCTATGCTCACATCCCACATAAGCTAGGGTTTGTAATTAAATGATGTCTGACATGGAGACATTCTGGCCAAGGAAACAAAACTGAATTCATCCTTATTTAGAAACTGAGGTCTCTGAGGTATTTTTCATACTTCACAAATTTATAGCCATACAAAAAATATTAAGACCTTTTGCACAAGTTACAATATGACTGATAAATTCATGTAAATTGGAGAAATCTGACTACAGATTCACTCATATTCTTTGAATTTTACTTTGAATCCGCTCGAAGAAATGCTCCCTATTACAACACTTTGCTGTTACAGTTTCATTTTCAAAGACTTACTTTAACAGAAGTAGGACTCAGAGCTCTAAAAGTGGCTTTTCACTGTCCTGCTTTTCTTCAGCTTCTTCAGATCCTATGGGGTAAGAAAGGGGGACAAGAAAAAGTATTGCTTTCTATTAAAGTAACAAACGATGTCTTTAAAATTACAATATACACACATAATGTTTTAAATGAGAGATACATGTTTCCTCCTCCAGAGATTTAGGTTAAAACTGTAACTATAAAATAAAGTTTTACTGTATTTCTTGTAGGAGGAACTTTGAAACAGGATCTATCACTTGCACTAATCTGTCAAAATGGATTTCATTTACATACGATTAAAAATAATCATACAGACCAGAAATTTATTTCTGCAGGCTCTTCCTCCTCCACCTCTGTGCTGGCAAAGCTTGCATATGTTTTTCAAGGGCAAATAACCGAGCTTTGGTACAAATAATTTAATCTACATATTTTAAGAAGCACTGTCCCAGTGAGAGAGCAGTGAGGGCTTCCTGATGCCCAGGTGATGACAGATGGTCCCTGCGTGTGCTGTTGCCAGTGACCCTGTTCTAACCTTCTGGGTCAATGTCCAGGGAGCCTCACATTAGTTGTGCTTTGACCCAATCATTCCACTCTTGAATTATATCCTTAGCTTATATCCTTGAGGAAATAGCATTTGTTTTATATCACGTAGATTTTTTCCTCTCAAAAGTAGGGGGAAAAAGTCTAATTCTGAGAGCGGAAGTTAAAAATGCTTACATTTCCACGAAATATCTTGCTACCATTTAAAATTACATTTATATAGTTTATAACATGAAAAATGCATTTTATTATGTAAAAACAAATACATAATGAAAAAATTATATATATTGTAAGGTCATGTTTGATAAAAATAAAGCACTAAATACATAGGTGCAAGTCAGAAAGACCAGGAGAAAACAACCAGGTGATGTACACATTCTGGATTCCCAAAGCCTCTAGAATAAACCCACGGTAACGACACAATTTTAGAAACAGGATATAAATAATATAGGCTCTATGGCCACAATTACAGAAATTACAAACATAAAACTAGAAGGAACAAATTAAACTGTCAACATTGAGGTTCTGAATAGTTTGAAGAACAGTTAATCTTTTATTTTTGTTCTTTCTACATTTTTATAAAAAAACATGCATTACTCTCATAACCAGGCACCAGAAACAAAAAGGAGCAGAGATTAGACGAAGGCAGCAGTCAGGGATACAACCTATTCACACACAAAAGCAGCCTGCCTCCCGCTGTGGCTGCACTTGTCAGGTAATAATGCACTTTCCCATGAGAGTGTCTACCTGGATTATCGCAAAAATAAACCTGCTCCAGGAGAATGAAGGCCAAGAATCTTAAGACAAGATTATGTCTCACATCTTAACGTCATGAATGTCACACAGTTAAGGGTGAGTTTGTGATAAATAAATAGACAAAGGCTTCACTTTCCAGCCTGTTAAGCTGCTATAAAGCGTCCAGACACTGGGCTGGTTTAACTGGCTTCTTCTCACTCTGAAAGGAGCCCAAGGAAGATGGTCAGGCCAACTTCCCATTTCTGGGCTCACTTTCCACCTGTCAGGCTAACAGCATTTGAACCGCAAGCTGACAAGTCCCGGGAATCCTATGAAGACAAACTTTTAATTAAAATAGTAACATTTATGCTTTTCCTAATTTAAAAGTGAATGCTAGACAGGTTAGATCAATAAGTCTCCTTGAAAAGCAACTATAAAACTGGACTAGATGGACAAGACTAGCCATTTCAGCACTCGGAAAATGACCAAAGGCACACAACAATCTGAGAAGTGTCGCTGCTTGAAAAACTGCAGAATTCTGGGAACAGCAATGGTATTCTTGCCTGGAGCCACTCCAATTCCTTCCCCTCCCAACACCTGGTTTGATGGGCATGAAGGCTCTTACACGGTGGGGCAGACCATGACAACTGGCAGCAAAACTGCACAGCTGAAGGGAGCTGAGCTCACTTAATTTGAGGTGGGGAGTGATGCAATGGTGAACTGACAGAACCAGTTGTGTGCGAGCAGAAAGGGCCAGAGGCTCTGCTGGTGTGAGGTGTGGTCATGGCTGAAGTAAGCATGTGCTTGGCTGAAGCTGTGTGCACCCTAGTGGAGACCCCAAAGAGCCCAACTAGCCAAACACCCTGGTCGACCCTGAGACTATGAGCATATGCAAAAGAGATAAGAAAAAATGTAGAGCAAAGTTCAAGCTGGGGAGGACTATAAGTAGACTGAAAGTTGCATGTGCTGTCCAATACATACATATATCCACTTGGCAGAAGACTTAATCAAAGTGCTTGAGCACAATCTCTGTCCAATCATTGGCTACCACTAACAAAGGGTGAACCCATGAAGCTCTGCTTAATAATAAATGCATTAAAAATAAAATAAAAAACCAAGAAGACATATTAACAGCCACATGTCACAGGGAACATAAATTTACAGATTTAGTCTAGGCAATTATCTAAGTAAACATACATTAATAACACACCTTTTGGGGGGAAATCAGAATCTAGAGTTGACACAAATTTTTATTTTTCAATAAAAATTATAAGGCAGAAAAGTGTGACTATTCTCAGGAGGAAAAGAAAACAAACAAAAACCACAACTCAATAGAAGCTGTCTCTGAGCTAAACCAGATATTTTATTTAGCAGACCATGACTTCAAAGCAACTATCTAGAATAATAATCTATAATAATAAAAGGGTAATATGCTCCGGACGTTCTTCCAGACGAAGTCAGGGCCCGAGTGAAGCCGCCTGGGTCCTCGGTGCTAGAGGGAAGCCCGTGCCGGCAGCCAGGGGAAGGAAGGCCTACTCTTGCATGAATTTTCATGCATCGGGCCTCTAGTTGTAAATAATATAATATTTAGAAATGTGAATTTTTGGATATATATATTCAAAGAACTATAGAAAATAAAGCTTAAAGAAGTAAAGTAAAATGAACACAACTAGAGATCAACAAATAAAGATTATCAAGGAGACAGAAATTACAAAATGATCAGATTTTTAAAAACCTGAAGTAGAAAAGTATAATAACTGAAGTGAAATATTCACTGGGAGGGGGATTGTTTAAGAGAATATTAAAGTTGGCAAAAGACAGAACTTGTAAACTTGATGCTAGAACAAGAGAAGTTATCCAATCTGAATAATAAAGAGAAAAAGACTGAAGAAAATGGAGCAGACTCAGCGAGCTATGAGATAACATCAAGCATGTGATGGGACTGCCTGATTTAGAGGAGGGGAAAAGGATCCGGAAAAACATTTGAAGAATTATGCCCCAAACTCCGAAAATTTGTTGTTCATCTATACATTCAATAAGCTAAACAAGTACTGATTAGGATATGTACAAAAAGTTGCTACAATATATTTCATAGGCAACCAGATGAGAACCACAGAATACATGAAACACAATACATCAAAATTTATAAGATGTTTGCTAAAGCAATCCCTTGGGGGTAAATTTATGACTTTAAATGCCTGTGTCAGAAAAGAAGATTTAAAATCAATCATGAAAAAGAAGTGCAAGCTAAACTCAACCCAAACAGAAATAAAAATTGTAATGAAAATTCAAAACACACACACACACACACACACACACACACACACACACACACACGAGAGAGAGAGAGAGAGAGAAAAACACAGGAAAACAACTCATTCTTTGAAAATATCAACAAGCTTGACAAACCTCCAGCTAGAATTACAAAAAAAGAAATGAAAGAAAATATAAACTACCAAAATCAAGAAAAAACATTACTACTAATCCTAAAAAGAATTAAAGGAAATGTTATAAGTAATTTATGCCAACAAACTAGATAATTTAGATGAAATGGATGGATTTTTAGAAAGACACAAATTACCAAAATGGACTAAAGAATAAATAAATACTCTGAATAGACCTACACATAACAAGAAATTTAATTAATAATTGAAAATCTTCCCACAAAGAAAATTTCTGAACTAAATGGTTTCATTGGAGAACCTATCAAACACTTAAAGAAAGAATGATATTGATCCTTAACAAGAAGGATTAATTCAGAAAATAAAGGAGTTGGGAACACTTTCCAGTGCATTCTATGAGGCCAGCATTACTCTGCTATCAAAGCCAAAAATATAATAAGAAAACCACAGACCAATAGGTACAAAAGTAATGAGCATTGATACAAAAATCCTCCAAAAGTATTAGCAAATCAAACCCAGGTACATAATGGGTCATACAACATGACAGAGTGGGATTTACCTAGATGTAAAGAGTTGATTTAACATCCAAAAATCAACTGATGTAATACACCATATTGACTGAATACAGGACAAAAACCACACGATCATCTCAACAGATGCATGGAAAGCATATGAAAAATCCAATGCTCACTCATTATAAAAACTTTCAACACACTAGGAATAAAATGAACTTCCTCAGCCTAATGAAGGGCATCTGTGAAAACCCACAGCTATCACGTACTTAATGTTGAAAGACTAAATGCTTTTCCCCAAAGACCAGGAACAAGACAAGGATGTCTGCTCTTGCCCCTTCTATTCAACACTGTATTGGAGGTTCCAGATAGTGCAACAAGAAAAATATTTTTTTAAAGATATCCAGCTGACTGAAAAACAAAAAATAAAACTGTCTTTACCCACAGATCACATGATCCTATATGTAGAAAATTCCATAGAATCCATATACACACAAAACCAAAACTAGAACTAATAAACAGGGTTAGTAAGGGCACAAGATACAAATTTAATATACAAAATACCAACTGTATTTTTATATACTAGCAATGAACAATTTGAAAATGAAACTAAGACAATATTTACATTTAAAATAGGACCAAAAAGAATAAAATACTTAGGAATTAATTTAACAAAAAAAAAAAATTCGTATGCAGAAAACTACAAAACTTTAGTGAAAAAACTATGTTTCAAATCTATTAATCTACACAGGGTGACTATATAATTGATCATCTAAACAAGAACATTCTGAGGGATAAATGGAGTTCTAACAGTGATTACATGGGGCCACAGGTAAGCCAAACCGAAATGCAGGCTTCCTTTTAGTTGTAAATTGTAGTGCCTTCATCTAGATTTGTTCAGTACTGATTATACAGGATGGGGCAAAAGTAGGTTTACAGTTATGAGTACACGAAACACAGAGTTTATTCTTGTATCATTATTTATTAATTATTGTATTATTTTCCATATGGACAACAATAAACCTACTTTTGTCCCACCCTGTACTATACAATTGAGCTAGTCTCCATTTTAAGTTAGTCTTTCAATTATTTAGGAGGTGATGAATTACCTTTTCCCCAGCATCACTACTGCTTCGTTTAAGCTGTGTAACCACACGCAACAACTTCAACCCCATCATCTGAGAGGACTGTGCCTCCTCATTCTTTCCATTTAACACACAGGTAAGCAGGAAATGGCTAGACCAAAAGCAAACCGGCAAACACGCCACCTTTATATCCTTCAGAGGTACATCTACTAAAATATGCTAATTTTCCAAATCTCTGTGACACTAAAATTCAAGTCATTCATTTACAAGGAAAATGCTGACATTTCAATTTTTGGTGCCTTCAACTTTTCCCCTTATTTTCATTTATTCCTCCAACAGTTTAAGTTTACTATGTGCCAGGCACTGTACTATGTGCTGAAGAAAGACAAGAAAAGGCAAGGCCGGCCCCAGATGCCCTCTTGCCTCTAGGGGCCAATCAGAGCTGTATTAGGACAACAGAAGCTTATAACTTCTGCTGCTAACACACTGTTTAATATTTAGCCATTGGCTAATGAGAAAACTTTATAGTATAATCTTCTAGGTACGTTAATTTCAATAACAGTTTTTAATAAAATTATTCTTAAAGTGCCTTTAATTCAGACAATGAAAATAATATAATATTTATAATAATAAAAGCAAAATATGCTAATTAGGTCAGACATCCTTCCGGACAACCTTTCAGACAAAGCTGGGGCTGCGAGGGAAGCCTGGGTCCTGGTGCCAGAGGGAAGCCAGTGCCGGCAGCCTGGGGAAGGAAGGCCTACTCTTGCATGAATTTCGTGCATTGGGCCTCTAGTACAATATAATATAACTAGAGGCCCGATGCACGAAATTCATATAAGGGGCTCGGCTCTCACAGGCCCGGCTGCCTGGGCCCTTGCAGCCCCGACTTCATCTGGAAGGTCATCTGGATGGTCATTCTGCTGTTTGGTCTAATTAGCATATTAGCTCTTTATTATATAACTAGAGGCCCGGTGCACAAAATTCATGCATGGGGTGGGGGTGGGGGGGCAGTGTCCCTCAACCCAGCCTGCGCCTTCTTGCAATCTGGGACCCCTCAGTAGGGTCCATAGACCTGGCCGGAGATCAGGGCCTATCGGGGCTTTCCTTCCCCTGGCTGCTGGCAGCTGGCCCCACCCCCACCGCTGCCACTGCTTGTCATCAGTGCAGTGCTGCCCCCCCTCCTCTGCCACCAGTCGCCTCCCTCTGCGGGTGACAGGCATGAGGTGCAATGGCTTGGCTGGCCTGGGCTTCCCTCTGCGGGGCGATCGCTGGCCGGCCCTGCACACCTGCCACAGCGTTGCTGGTCAGTGGCCTGGGCCTCCCTCTGTGGGGCGATGGATTGTGGGGCCCCCAGATCGATTGCTGCGCAGAGGGAGGCCCTGCCCATCTGCCGCAACGCTGCCAGCTGGGTAGCCTGGGCCTCCCTCTTTGGGGAGATCAATCGTGGAGCCCCCCCACCGATCGCCCCACAGAGGGTGGCCTGTGGGGTGACCATGGGCAATGGTGGGGCCCCCTGACCAATCGCATCGCACCAGCCTTGGTTGGCCTGGCGCCAGTGCGTATCATAGCATGGTCGTCCGGAAGGTCATCCAGACGGTCGTTCTGCTGTTCAGTCATTCGGTTGATTTGCATATTACGCTTTTATTATTATAGATACAATAAACTAAGCCATTCTGAACACTCCCTCTCTGATCACTTCTAATTTGCATTTTGTCGTAGAGCAGCTCCCCAGGGGAACACTGTGAAAGTATTTGTTGTTCTTGGTTAGCATAAGCTAGTGAAATGGTAATATTTCCAACTACCACTAGGTGGTATTAAAAGTCACAGGTAGGAAGCCAGTGGTTGCTTGTTGAAGAATGCCTGAGGTATTCCCCATGTTATTATCCCACTGTTCTGAATTTCCAATTAAGAAAATACATTAGTGTTGAGAAATTTTAATAGACTTAGAAAATTAAAAGCTATACGAAAGCATGAACTATAGTGCAAAATTCTTATTTTTTAAAGGAACGAGTCCTATGATGCAATCTCAATGAAATAATCCTTATGATGAGGTAATGAAAAGTTTAATACTTACTCTAATAGTTTCTGCTGGCTGAGAAATAGCTTTTCTTCTAGTTCATATATCTTATCATCTGACTCTATGCCTTTGTTTTATACTGCTTTTAGAGCCAACACCAATAGTACAGAACATCAAGTTACTTCAAGTTCCCCTAACATGCTGTCCCAGTGCTGTGCCTTTGATCTTCACATGGTTCTTTCTGCCTGGAGTCTGTTTTACCGTGTGTGTGTGTGTGTGTGTGTGTGTGTGTGTGTGTGTGTGTGTGTTTAAAATATTTACAGAGCATAACGCTGGGAATAAAATAATGCCGTCTCTAACTCAAGTTTATATCTCAGTGACAGAAACAGGCCAGGTCCCTGCAGAAGACAGTGCGGACAATATAGGATGACAGGGTTGTGGGACATGTCCCAAAGAAAAAGCAAACAATGAGGACATGCTGCCAACACTGCCAGGAGCCCAGGGTGGGTGGGAGGTAGGGAGAAGCCTTCTGAACACAAGAGTGGAGACTAGGATTGCAGAGATGTAGTGTTAAGGACAGAAAAAAGCAAGATGCACAATGGCTTGAGAGGGTTTTGCACACCGCATTTTCAGAAAAACTAAGAACAGAACACAAGGAAAGTTAATAAGCAGAGAGGCCAGACAACTGGGTAAGGTGGTCACAGAAATGCATTCTGCCAGGCTAAGGAGTCATGACTTTCGTAATCTTTGATGTCACTGAAGGCTTTTGGCCAGGGCAATAATGTGATCAATTTTTAATGTTCATTCATGTTAAAAGGCTATATATTTATTAGCTATGAGCGTGGACTCCAGCACTAGAGCCAGTGTTCAAATCCTACTTCCAACCCTTATTCTTTGTATGATGTGGAACAAACACCTTCACCTCTCTGTGCCTCAATATGCTTCTCTCTAAAATAGGGAGAAAGACTTTCACATCAGAGTGGTTATGAGAAACACTTAGAAAAATGCGATTGTTATTTTTAATACTGCACTCTGGTGGCTGCTTGTGAGAAGGCAACTAAAGCAGGGAGATAGGCTGTTGCAGAAACTGAAGCAAGAAATGCTGAATTCAAGCTCAAGGTGGAATTAAGTGGTACACATCCGATTTCACTCATATGTGGAATCTAATGAACAAAAAACGAGCAAAATAGAGATAGACTCATAGATCGAAAGCAGCTGACAGCTGTCAGAGAAGGACTGGGGGGCTGGGTGATGGGGGGAGTGGAAGGATTGAGCAAAGAAGAGAAAGAACTCATGAACACATATAACAGTGTGGTAACAGCCGGCGGGGAGGGGAGTGGAGGGAGGTGGAGGTGGACAGAAGTCCCCTTCTATCACCATTTTTCCCGCACCATTTATGGGGGGGGATAAAGGTGATGGAAGGAGACTTGACTTAGGGTGGTGAACATGCAATACAGTGTACAGATGCTGTGTTGTAGAACTGTGCACCTGAAATCTGTATAATTTTGTTAACAGTGTCACCCCAATAAATTCAATAAAAAGGAAAAAAAAGAAATTAAGTGGTACAATTTGAATGAGATAAAGGAGGCAGAAATAGAGAGGATCAAAATGGCAGAGTCCCCAGGGAGGCTCTGGTTTCTGACTTGGAAAACTGGGTGGACAGTGCTTCTATTCCTAAACATGGGAGGCCCTGCAGGAGGGTAAGGGAATGGCAGGTAATAAAGAGAGCATCAAAGCCCTTGTCTCTCCTGCCCGTCTTCTAGGATGCAGACGCTAAGCCACTGTGTCCCTGGCCCTCTATTCCATTTAGTTTTACATCTCTATGTCAGACCACTGATCACATGTCAAGAGCATGTCTTAGCTATTCTCATATCCGAAATACCTGGTATGTTAAATATTTGCTAAGTGTTTTGAGAAGTAGAGGGAGAGACAGAGGCTGAGCATTTGAATAATGGACAAAAAACACAAATGATAATCAAATTTTTTTACCTGCTTCGGATTCAGGAGGAGAATAAAACTGGCCATCGGAAAGGCCACCAGGAATGAGTGCCGCCCTCTCCGAAGCATCCTGAACAATCAGGAGTCCTGAAAGAGAAGAAATTCAGAGGCTGGGATGGTGCCACTGTTCTGGTAGCTTCTTGGCAAGGCTAACCACAATAAAATGATGTTAATATTACATTTAAAAACAAGTCTTCGCCAAAGAGATACTTTGAAAATCTTTCCACCAAAAAATACATTTTATTAATAAACTGTGAACCTGTACTGTAAGGACAGATTTCAACTAGTTTTAAAAAATGGCCTCATGTTACTCATGTGATTCTGTGACTCGGTATTTACAGCATCTTCCCTTGAGAACAGCTTCTCCCTACAGAAATCAACACCATCAGAACCAAACACATAGCAAAACAGAAAACCTGGTCAGCTCGGACAAGTGGTCTATCGTCTGCATGTGGTTGGAGAATTGCCAGATGTAAAACATAATGAATGGACAGACTTTTGTAAGTATGTAAAGAGTAATTAAGATGGTGAACAAATGTTATCCAGTAAAAAGGTCCTCACAAAAGAAGGGTATTAAAAAAAGAAAAAACAAAGAAAAGAGAAGAAAAGGAAGGATGATGTGGACAGTTCAAGAACACTAACACATGAGAGAGGCCATCAACAACGAGCTCTGACTGAATGTGAGTTAACAATGAGAAACAGCAGGCCAAATAGCAGATACCAGGTACGTGTGTAAAATATGCTACAGACAGTAAAAATAAGCGCTATTGGAAAGTGTTTCATTAATTGTGTGTTCTGCTTTGTTACTTATTTTGAATCTGGTTTAAACACATAAGCATTCAGGCCTCAGTCACATTAATAGTTGTTCTGCTTTCAATCAAGTTCAACTTATATATAATTTAAAAAATGATTTTCATTAACTTTGTCCCAAGTCCACAGTATGTTTTCATTAAGGAAAAGAAGGCACAGGATAGATAAGGCTTGGTCTGATTAATGTGTTTTAAAACCTACTCTTGAATAATTCTTTTCTTGTAGATGTCTTCTCTGAAAATGAGGTTTTTCCTAAAGAAAGCCATTTCCAAGGTTACTTTTCCTTCTGCTGTTCCTTTGGGTTATAATCATGTTTACCTTTACATAAGACAGGCATTTTTTTCTATCAGGCAGGGCAAAAAGAGCCAGGTGACGGAGGGGGCATGGAAGAGCATGACTTAAATCTGCCTGGGTCTCTGTTGAGCTTGGATCATGTCACCAGCAAGAGGGCGGGTGGAGTACGTGGGCTTCCACTAAGGCCACGCTTTAGAAAAGAATTCCAGCCCAATAATTAATCATAAAGCTCCATGAATCACTTGGCCTTCCTAGTCAATATCCAGGGATACTCAAAGCCGCACAGGGAGAGTACAACAGCTTTGGCAGGACTCACAACTCCACAACGCTAGCTATCACTCAGCTACTCGGAGGAGCGTGGTGCATTTCTTGAATGGCTTGCTGGCTCGCTCTCTTCCTCTTCCTGAACTTCACCAGGTCTAACAGCTGGAGGGAGGAGCCACATTCGGTCACTACCCTTTCATCCAACTCTCCTTGCGATATCAGCTACACCCACTAAAGAACATAGACACCACGATCTGCTAACTTCAGCCACCTGCCGCTCAAATTACGGCACCCACAGCTCTTCCTTCCAGCTCAGCACCTAGCCAGTCCCAGGAGGTCAACGTTGAGAGGAACTTACTATTTTCTTCTTCTGACTCTTGAGGTAACACTTTGAAGTCCAGAAACCACGTCTCGATCCAGGCAAGGATGAATGAAATGATGGGCAGCACATAACCGAAAGCCCCTTGAGAGAAAAGCTGGAAGAACAGATGTGAGCAGCAGAGGGAAATCCAGTTACCATGAGCTCACAGTGGAAAACGAGGCATGGTTATTATAGATGGCATTCTTCAGAAAAAGTGGTAGGCCATACCTTTGAGAGGATCACTTTTGCTAGTAAAAAGGCACTGGTCACTGCTGTCGTCAACTGAAAGACACAAAAGTCGGCACCATTCAAATTAGACATTGGACATTGTGGAGGCACCTTCCTCACACAAGAGACCCACCTGAGCCAGAAGTACACAAAGCCCGAGAAGCTACGCCCAGGCCGGCTCCTTCCCACATCACTCTCTCTCTATCCCCTAAACCCAGACTGCGGCAAAGTGGACTTCTATGTGACACACAATCCCTGGCTGGCTCTAATGGCCTTTCTCCCACATTTAGCAAGCTGGTGTGTTGGGAAACTAGCTGGTGTGTTGGGAAACTAAATTTTATCCAAACACACTATCACCACAGAAGAAAGGACAGTGAAATGCAGAGGCAGGGCTCCTGGGATTGGGGTTGGGATTATCCCATAGGACCTGGCCCTAGTCACTCTGTCCTCCAACTAAGATTTGTGGCAATATGAAACCTGAGCAAAGTGAATGCCAAATAGTCGCCTTGATTGACAGAATGGAGGTCAGGGGACATCAGGTGTTGTGCTTAGTGAGTATTAACAAAGTTGCACACCCCCCCTTTGTTAGCAAAACACGCCTCCCCCTGCCCCTCACACACACACACACACACCAGCTCACACACACACACAAACACCAGTTAAAGTGAGTTACTTGGAGAGGAAGGATTTTACATTCTGATACTAATTAACTTTACAGGCTGAACTAAGTGCTGTTTAGGTACCAGCTGACTTCTTCCAGCTGCCTGGACCCTTCTCTATAAATGTTTTTCAAAATAAAAACCAGAAACAATAAAATGAATATGCTAAATCTAACCTGTCCTCTTGATGATTTACAATTAGAGACTGAAGATACTTTCTTAAAACTCTCACAGAATGTCAATCATTTTTCTGAAAACAAAACACTGAGACAGTTGGATTGACAAGTCCTACTGCATGTTACAGAAACTCAAATAGGGACTATTATAGAAAATCGGGAAGGGACAATCATCAGCTATTTGGTATTGCCAAATAGCTATTTTGTATTCAAGAGAGGAGTCAAGTCTGGCTAAAACTGTCAGCCAATATCAATGAAATGCAAGCTTGGGGCTCAATGGATGGTCTAAGGATTCTGTGGATGCTCAGAAGAGATGGCCCAGGCAGAGGCGCCCCCTGGTGGATTGTCTTAGGAGTGCTGGACAAGCCTGTGCCAGCCCACACACAGACCAAGGTTGCACACTCAAAAGCAGGACTGCAGGCTATTCCTAAGCAGCATTCCCCTCCCTCATATACCTGCCTTATTAGAGCTCTCAAAAAGGTGAGTGTTCAGGTATCTGTGGAAATAGAAAAATTGCTTATAATTCTTCTTTCAATCAATAAATATTTGTTTAGGGTGAATAGTATGTGCTCTATGCTGGATGCAAGGAAACAGAAATGAGTACAAAGGCACTGCCTTTAAGAAGCCTAAAGGCAATAATAAAAAGGAACATGAGAGCGTTTCCCTCTAAGACAGGAGGAAGGGGAATAAAACAGGGAGGAAGGCAATTATCAAAATGAGCAGAGAGCAAGTCATGAACAATCACTAAGCAGTTTCAATCAACAGGAAAATTTCTAAATATCTTTGTGACAGAGATACTGATCTTATGTCTCATTATACAATGAGGTAGAGGGTGGGTTGGTGCTTGACCAATAATCCTATTAGGCCTCTGGATTTCTGAATTGGTTCAGTATCCATATAGACAAAGCTAGTTGGTCATTACCATTGGAAAGAAGCTAAACTGTTGAAAGGTAGAGGAACGGGGACTCAGGAAAAGCCAGATGAAAACTGCCTCTTCTCCCAGCTCAGCCCTGCTGCGAGCAGGCCCTAGCCACCAGCACTGGAGGAGGCGAACCATTCATCCAGGTATACTCACTGCTATTGCCCACCAATGGCGCAGTCTGCATACAGCGTAGGCAAGTATTAACACTTTGAACCGAAAAACTGCCAAAAGCTATATTAAAAAAAGAAAAGACAAGTTTTCAAAAATATGTACAAAAGAAGAGTAACTTAGTTTTATGAAGAACCCACCAAAGTGCCTTCATTATTCTGATTTAGCTGAAGACTGCCATAGACGAGCACTAGTCTACAGACCAGCATTTGAGATCCCTGCTTTAGAATTTATGTAATTCCACCCAAATAAGGATTCAAATCAACTTCCCATTCTCGACAAAAGAACATGAAATTAAATGTTTATTTTTCCTTTCTACTTAAGTCCACATATATTTCCAATTCCACTTTGGAAGACAGCAGGGTTTTAGTCAAGTCTATGGTAAAGCTCTGGGTTACTGGGCTATTGGGAGAGTTCAGCCTACCCCAGTAGTTACTATCTGGTTATTTAGGATGGTTCTGGGACTTTTGTGAAACCCTTTATGTGTATTATTATCCCATGTAATCCCCACCACAACAACCACATGAGTCAACCACTATCATTAATCATATTTTACAGATTAAGATGAATAGAAACATTGTTCAAAACCCCACAACTCCTTAGTGAGAAAGCCAAGATTTGAATCCAGGTAGCCTGACTTCAAAGACGAGGCTCTTAACCACTATTCTACAGCTGTCTTCGTCACTCTCATCCACTAAGAAATAAACACAGAATAAAAGTTTACCAATTTTACTCAGAAAGTATGTTTATTCTGAGTTGGACCCTTGAGACTCAGGGTAGAGGTCTGCCAAAAGTTCCTCACTAGTCAAAACAGCTAAAAGGCTGCAGGCTGAACATTTTGCTGCCATTGACTAGATAACCTCACTTAAGATTCTGTTACATAAATGAAGTTCACAGGTTATATTTGTCTTTAATTTGCTGCTTTCATTAAAAATGTGTTTTCCAATAATCTAACCATTTAGTTCCTCTTCATTCCAAATTCTATCTCCACATTCTGGACTTGGCAAAGTATTTCTTTACCCCTCTATCTTGACGTCTCCCAGGTCCCAAGGTTTCATGCTCCCAGGTCCCCTGCTCGACAGTCTTTCCAATCTGAGCTAATGGGCTTTCCCTATTTGTCCAGTAACCCCCTAAGCATGGGGCACAGACAACCAATGAGATCTGACCAGTGCATTAACCTGGCTTCCTGACAATTCCTGACTCAGGCTATTTTAAGATAAACTCAGCAAGGGAAATAAGAGGAAAAAAGAGAAATCAATTTTGTTGTTGATATGTCAATAGTTTCAAAGTAAATATCATAAGACTTGGGAAATAACATGTTCTGCCACCAACTTCAATGACCTAGGCTAGGTCAAGATACTGAACCATGAAACACAATTTCTTCATTTGGAAAAATAAGGGGATTGCATTATATTAGTGTTTTCCAAATATTTGGCCGCATTCAAACACTTTTCAACCTACTGTATAGAATCTTAACATACTAGAAGTTAAAATGAATTTGGGGGAATTCACTGTGAATTTTAACTGCCTATGCTCTGTCTACAGATAAGAATGAACCCTTACATACTACATAGATAAAAATGGAACTAGTCAGGTAAGGGGGTGATAACAAGGGAATCCTGAGCTCTACTTATTGGGACTTCCACTTTGTTCCCCAGACACACTTATTCAGGCTCCTTCAAAAAGGAAACAAGACTTTTAGAATAGCTTGAAAACCATTAGAAATATAATCATTAAAGTCTTCAACAAAAATAATGACATTGATTGCAGATTCTGAGCTCTACCTATCATTGGGTTATGTGTTTTCCATGTATGACTTCATTTACTTTTCAGAATGATGATGATGATCTCATTTTAAATACTAAGGAAACTGAAACTTAGACATAATTTATTCAAAGATATACAACTAGTAATAGTGTTGTGAATCAGGTTTTCTGACTTTAAGGGTTCTATAGTTTCTAAAGACAGTGAATAAAGAAGTTAAAATGAATTTGGAGGAATTCACTGTGGATTTTAAATCCCTATGCTATGTCTAACACAATGCTAGAATCTGATCTACTTACATCATAAAGAGATTTACCAGGGAGTTGTGTCAAACCCAATCAAAGTGTGTCCTAGAGCCAGCAGGCATGGCTCAGTGGTTGAGTATTGACCTGTGAACCAGGAGGTCACAGTTCAACTCCCAGTCAGGGCACATGCCCCAGTTGCGGGCTTGATCCCCAGTGGAGGGTGTGCAGGAGGCAGCCGATCAATGATTCACTTTCATCATTGATGTTTCTATCTCTCTCTCCCTCTTCTTTCCTCTCTGAAATTAATAATATATATTTTTAAGGGTCCTAGAGCACTGCAAGCATTCATTTGAATAAATGAATGCCTCATCTACAGATAATTGCATCTGTAATTCTACAACTGACTAATGTACCCAAGATTACCAATATATAACTTTCCCAAATTATATTAGAGAAAAATGAAACAGATTTATTATTGAAAATATACTGAAAAGAAAATGCATTTTCATACTGTTGTTACATAAATAGGTAAATTTTCCTTTTAGTGATTAGTGCCAATGGCTTCTATTTCAGCTATTTGAAAAAATAAAGGCTTTTCTCTAAGAAAATCAGAATGGCTTTTTCTTCTGCCTTTCTTATATCTTTTAGTATCTTGAGATGACCAGATAATTTCTTAGAAAGAGGTAAAGAGAACACAGAATGGGCCAGTAACTAGGGGGGAAAGGAAATATAGTGTTCAAGGGAGGAAACAAATAGAACTACATAGAATATGAGGTCTATTGGGAGGAAATTTGCCTTTTGGTTAGTTTCATCATATCTGAAATAAACTATAATAAAAAATACTTACAAATATATCAAAATAAGAAGAGTAGAAATCATATCGCACCACCTCCTTCTCTAACGTGTTCTCAATGCCTCCATTCACCTAGGAAGGAGAGTAAAAAGTAAAAACAAAAAGATTTATGTGTGAAAGTAATGCAAGAGAACATGTACAGAAGACAACTGATCAATGTTTCTCTCTCACAGTGATATCTCTCTCTCTCTCTCTCTCATCAATAAACATATCCTCGGGTGAGGAAAAAAAGAAAAGAAAATGAAGGGAGCAGATGAATTTTGCCTGAGAGGAAAGCCTTTTGGAAGAGTTTATCTTGTATTGTTGGTAAGAAATGTAAACAGAACCAAGGCTTTCGGAGAAAACAGGTATGTTGGGTTAAATAAAATCTATTATTAAAATTTCACCTATTTACTTTACTTTTATTAAATAAATGTAGCAACTAGAAAACTTAAAATTACATATGAGGTTTGCATTATATTTCTATTGGGCAGTACTGATCTAGACCAGTGATCTTCAACCAGAGTGCTGCAAGAATTTTAAAAACATGCAATGCCTGATTTAGTCAGAGGCACTGACTTCTTTTCCTTTAGATTGTCAAATAAAAAAAAATTACAGCCCTAGCTGGTTTGGCTCAGTGGATAGAGTGTCCACCTGCAGACTGAAGGGTCCAGTGTTCGATTCTGGTTAAGGGCATATGCCCAGATTGCGAGCTCGATCCCCAGTAGGGGGCGTGCAAGAGGCAGCCGATCAATGATTCTCTCATCATTGATGTTTCTATTCTCTCTCCCTCTCCCTTCCTTTCTGAAATCAATAAAAATATATTTAAAAAAATTATAACAGCCAACACAACAATAGCTGTCCTGTGTGAATGAATCAAAATTATACCTATTTTTTGGTCAGAATGGCAAAAAAATATATTTTTTGGTGCACCACAGAATTTTACTAATTTAGTTTATGTATGCCATGAGATTTAAAAAAAAGGTTGAAAATCACTGGTCTATATAACTAACTGCATAAGTCAAAATATAGACAAACCTCCAAATGGTTCTAAAATACTTTTATAACATATGAATTAATAATCTCTTTGCAAAAAAGTAGAGTAAATAACATGCAAAATCTTAAGTATGGGAATTAGAAAAGGAGATGCAACATCTAAAATATATTCCAGAAGCATGCTACATTTTTATAGAGCAAGGATCAGCAATCTATGTTCTGAAAAGGACCAGGGAATAAACATTTTTGCCTTTGTGGGACAGAAGGACTCTGTCACAAATACGCAACCACTCACATAAAAGCCAGCCATAGACAATAAGTAAACAAATGGGCAGGGCTATGTTCCAATAAAACTTTATTAACAAAAGCAGTCCAGCTGAATTTCACCCCAGGCTGTAGTGTGCCAATTTTCACTATAATACAAAACACCATGAATTCAAATTCCAAAATCCCAGACAAAATGAATTTTAAATTAACAAGGTTTGGTTTAAACAGTAAAGAAAAAGGAATGCCCAATTCAGCTGGAGATCAATATTGCCTCATTTGGGGGGAAAAACAAAATTCACTGACTGAGACAGAAATGATGTAAAAAAAAAAAAATAAGAAAACGGTTTTGTCTCTGGAAACAATTCTTATACTGTTATGGGGAAAAAACCACTTACATTTAACTCTATTATCCACAGTAATGTTACAAATAAGAGGTCAAAGGTGACAAACAAACAGAAAGTCCTCCTGACATCAGATATGCCTTTCTTTTCCCTTCCTTCATAGGACTCGATCCTGGCCATGAGCTGTGCAGGGTTGATGGAATGGACATCGCGCAGAGAAGCATGAGAGCTCTGGCTCCCTGTGAGAGCGTTCTCCATGTCTGCTGGCAGGGAGTTCATCCTGGAGGGGAGTTACAGGAGCCTTTTTCCAACGTCACCATCCCTAGAGAGAAGAGGCCTGAGGGGAATAAAAGAGAGACACCATGTGAAATCAGAGCTCACCCAACACCACAGCACTACCCCCACCTCCATGCACTGTTTCTCTAATGGAGCACAGAGAGTCTTAACTGAAAACATTTATGTCTTGATGAAGACATAAAGAGAAAGTGAAAGGAGAAGCAATTCTTAATGTTAACAATTAATACTACAAAATAGCTGTATGGAAAAGAATGGCAATAGAGAAGAATGCAAACTTACAGTGGTACAGGATAAAGACAGGATGTTAACCCCAACAAAAAGGTGTGCCCGGTAACCTGGAGAAGGCCCGTTGGTAGGCAAGCCAAGCCAGTTCTCTTGCTGTGCCAAGAAGAAAACCTCTACAATTCTGTCATCACCCACGGACTAGGAAAACTTTAACTGAATAGCTTCCCAGAGAGCATGTAACCAGAAGGTGTAAACTACCTATAAAAATGTGTGCGCTAAAGAGGAATTGCTTTCCACCAAAGGTATCTAATAAACCAAAGTTCGTTTTTCCCCATCACCTCTTAATGAACAAGCATGTTTCTGGGCTTCTTCTTTAAAAAGAAATACGCACACTGCAAAACGTTCAGCAACACATAAGCGCCCCACTGGTAATTACAGTAGTTACACACTCCTGTAGGGAGATGCAGAATCTCCTCCCCCAAGGCCAGGATGTACTTCTATAGTAAAAGCAAAAGATTTATATGGTTGGACAAGCATGGGAGAAGGCATGTTCTTTTCACAGCAATCGGCAAGAGCACATTAGAATAGCTAGAACATGTAAACACATTTAACATCTCTGTATATACATCATGTTTGCTCACATTCTATTGGTCAAAGTATATTTCAAGGCCAAACCCAAAGGCAATAGAGCGGGGATGTATACTCCACCCAAAGAGGAAGAGTAGGTAAGTGAATATTTGATGATTAATATTCCAATCTAGCACAGCTATCAATGTTTTAAATCACAGGTTGACAAACTATAGCCACATAGCCTGCAGGTTAAATATGGCCCACTGCCTGTTTTTGAATATCGAGTTTTATTAGAACACCAGATCCACTCTTATTGCCTATGGATGCTTTCACACTAAGATGGCACAGATAAATTGCTGCAACAGAGACCATATGGTTAGCAAAGCCTAAAATGTTTATTTTATTATCTGCATCTTTTTTTCTAGAAAGAGGGACTACTGTTTTTATCAGCTTCTCAAAGGGGACCAGGGTAAGACTGAGAGTTATTCAGATTAGGCTAATTGACAAATATTAATTTGCATGCTCTTAAACTTGTAATTCATTCTTATTTTCCACAGGTTGCTCTAGTGACACACTACAGTTTAGGTACAGATGGTCTTACCTTATGTTGGCTTATCTGAGGCCACTTCAACAGTACTTACAGCATGAACACCTTATTCTCTTTCTTTTATTCCACACTACTAAAACTGGAGAAAAATTCTGCCCCATCTGTACTGGTAGCTTCCTAAATGATGACATCTTTCCCACATGAAAACAAAAATAAAAATTGTATTTATAAGATCATTTATTAAATAGTGTGGACCAAATGGGGCCATGTATTAATCCTGACAAGCTCAGGAAAGGCCTACATGGTGGACTTACAAACTCAGAGATCTAAAGGAATCACATAGGGTGGTCTGAAATTAAAACCTTTTAACTAAAAGCAGTTTATAGCAGGTAGTCATGTCCTAGGCTAGAATATGCCCTGACAAAAGTCAATCTTTACCTTAATTAAGCCTGTCTATTGTCTTTTTGCATCTATGATATCATTACTTTGGAATGTCAGGGTAACTTCCCTTTTACCAGACCCTCATGGCACAAGCAATGCACCAAGACAGATACTAAAAATCCTCTTACTGTTATTGAGTTATTGTTGACTGTTAACTATACTGTACCTTCCCTATGTAAGAGAAGCATGTGTCTACATTTTACTTTTTATCCAATCCCAGAATTCCCACCTAACCCCGCCCCCTGCTATGTTTCCTCCAATCTCCCTAATCTATTACCAATGGATTTCAGGTAGCCCACTTACGTTTTCTCTTTTGATTGTAATATATAGAGTAAGATGCAAAACTGCCGTTCTCTGGGACATTTTCTTAATCCATTGTCCACAGTTTGGCTCAAATAAACTCACAAAAATTCTCTGCAGGTTTGAATGCTTCATATGTTGACAAAAGTTTACTGAGACCTTTAACAGACCACAAACTCCTTAATCTTGCATAATCTAGCACATGGCCTAATTTTATCTACTTCTCCAGTACCACTTCACCGCACTAAAAATCACAAGCAGTTTCCTTAAAAAAAAAAAAAAAATCACATTCTCTGGAACCTCTGTTTCAATTTTTCTCTCTTCATGGAGTGCTACTCTCCTTACCTCTATGGCTCTTACTCTTCCTATCAGCCTTAATGCAAAGGTCACTTCCTTAGGGAAACTTGTGATTCCTCCTACTCTTCCATACCTATCAGAGAATAGTGTACGCCAAGCATGTCAAACTCAAAGGCTAACATGGGCCAAATGAACAAGGTTTAAGTTTATGTGGGCTGCAAAAAAACCAAAAGCTTCAATTTTCATAGAAATGTAGGTTTATTTTGATAGAAGACATGCTGAATACGAAGGGCTGAAATAAATGAGTAATCATTAACGTAAAATAATAGAACATTTTAATAAAAATTAATATTTTTTTGAACATTAACTTACCAGACACTGAATAACTGCACAAATTAATAAGCAGAATTTATTAATTAACTAATAATTAACAACCTATTTAATAAACCTATTTTTTTTGTTCTATGAAAGCGAAATATTTCCTGTTGCATAGCCTAAACAAGTCAGTACAAGACTAATGATGCGGCAATCAGCTGCTAAAATATTCGCTGCTAGTATTAGTGGAAAGAAACGGTATGCCTGCGTGTAAGGGAAATAAATGCAACACGATTATAGTAATCGGTCGTTAGCAAACGTTGTAGCTCGTTATTAATAACTAGTGGCCCAGTGCATGGATTCGTGCACATTGAAAAGAAATTAATTAGAAGAAATATTTTAATATTGCTATTTGCCCTTTCTCTATAATAGAAATATCAACAAAAACAACCAAATTCACAATCGACAATGACAGATTGAAACACACACGTGTGATTGGTGCCAGTGAGAGCTTTATATATATCACGCATGTGCGAGTCAAGGTTTATTTTTAAATTGCCAGTGCGCACCGTAGGTACCAGCTGGTTGGATGGTCGGGCGAACAGATGGTCGGTCACTTAGCCTTTTACATATATAGATTATGTATAACAAGATATTTTAAAATTAAGTTACGAAATTTTTATTTATTTATTTATTTTTTTTTTTTTTACGAAATTTTTATTAAAACATTTCTTACACTCTGTTATATTGGCTGGGCCACAAAAATATTCGTTGTGGACCACATGCGGCCTGCGGGCCACAAGTTTGACATGCTTGGTGTACACAGACCTACATAACTCCTCTTACGCTGCATAAGATTATTTTTGGTCTACATTTTCCCTAAAGAAACCAACAGCTCACTTAGGATATTGTGATTCACCTATTTACCAGTTCCTTCATTCTGAGCTTCATATGGGAAGTGGGGGAAATCTAGAGACAAAGGGGTGGGGGGGCATTTAATGTAACAAAATATATAACAATTTATAATATATAAATTTAACAAAAATATGCTAATTCCTAACACTGAAAACTACGAAACATAGTTTAGAGAAATAAAAGATGAAAATAAATGGAGAGATATACTATAGTTATGGATATGAAGAATTCATATTGTTAATATTTCAATTCTCCCTTAACTGATCTACAGACCCAACTCAATCCCACTCATAATCAATCAAGGCTTTGGTAGAATTGACAAGGCAATTCTAAAATGAATATAGAAATGCAAAGAAATGAAAACAGCCAAAACAATCTAGAAAAAGAGCAAAATTGGAACTTACACTAATAACTTTCTATAAAGCTCAGTAATAAAAATAACGTGAAACTAACATAATGATCAACAAATAGATTAATGGAACATAATGGAGAGCCTAGAATTAGGCCAGCACTAATATGATCATTAGACTTCTAACAAAGATGTCAAAACAATCTAATGATGAAAAGAAAGTTTGTTTTCAACAAATGATGATGGGTCAACCAGATAACAAAACTGAAAAAATGAAAAAGAACTTTGAACCCTAACTCACACCATGCAAAAAATAAGATAATGTAGGAAAACAGTTTACAGGCAAAGATTTCTTAGAGAAGACACAACATCCACATCATCTGAAAAAAATTGTATAGGCTTGTCTTCAGGAGTTCCTGCTAGCCAATGTGAAACAATCTGAACATGAAAATGAATAATTTTTAGAATTTATATTTAGAAAAATTAAAAAGTTCCACAAGTCCACAGTAATACTGTAAAAAGGAGAGATAGGGTAGAAGCTCTTCTTTACAGAAAAAAAAAAAAGTCCAACAGAAAAGATAGAAGAAATAATAAAATTAGAAAAATCAAGTTTATAACCCCAGTTGAAGTAACTGATTTAGGCAAATATATATATTTTTTTAATCCTCACCTAAGGATATGTTTTTATGGATTTTTAGATGGAGAAAAAGGGAGGAAGTAGAGAAACATCGATGTGAGAGAAACATCAATTGATCAGTTGCCTCCCATACGGATCGAACCTGCAACTTTTGGTGAATGGGATGATGCTCCAACCAAATGAGCCACCTGACCAAGGCTAGGCAAAGATTTTTAGTAAATGCTAAAAATTATTAAAAGTTTGTTAGGAAATAGAATCTTTATAGTCTCAAAGTATTATCCCTCAGATCAGTTAATTTCATTAAGGGATAATATACCTCTGTTACTGGACCAGGACTGGGCCGAGCGAGTCTGCCTCAGGCAGGTGGGTAGTGTATGGGTTCTTGACTTCTTGTAGGGAAGATTTCACAACTCGAGTCCAGGTGAGTTTGAGAGTACATTTATTAAAGCTGGGGACAGTGAAAATAGGAAGGACTTAGGTTAGAAGAAGCAACAGGAGAGAGCCTAGGTCAGTGATGGCGAACCTATGACATGCGTGTCAGAGGTGACACGTGAACTCATTTTTTTGGTTGATTTTTCTTTGTTAAATGGCATTTAAATATATAAAATAAATATCAAAAATGTAAGTCTTTGTTTTACTATGGTTGCAAAGATCAAAAAATTTCTATATGTGACACGGCACCAGGGTTAAGTTAGGGTTTTTCAAAATGCTGACACACCGAGCTCAAAAGGTTCACCATCACTGGCCTAGGTGGTGGTGCTCTGCTTTGACTCCCTAGAAACATTATAGGAAAGAAGTGAGCCAGGCAGGGCTGTTAGCTCACTGGAAAGTTGGAGACAGGATGAGGGGTTCCCCTGAGACTGGCTGCCCTTGCCTGCTGCTCCCTGGGTTACAAGCCTTGTGGGGACTCTTAGAGTTTAGGAGGAAGTAAAAAGTTCATGCTCCAGAAGGGGCGTGGGCATGCTCTAGAGCAGTGATGGCGAACCTTTTGAGCTCAGCGTGTCAGCATTTTGAAAAACCCTAACTTAACTCTGGTGCCGTGTCACATATAGAAATTTTTTGATATTTGCAACCATAGTAAAACAAAGACTTATATTTTTGATATTTATTTTATATATTTAAATGCCATTTAACAAAGAAAAATCAACCAAAAAAATGAGTTCGCGTGTCACCTCTGCAGGCAGTGGTCAGCAAACTCATTAGTCAACAGAGCCAAACATCAACAGTACAACGATTGAAATTTCTTTTGAGAGCCAAATTTTTTAAACTTAAACTATATAGGTAGGTACATTGTTATTAACTTAATTAGGGTACTCCTAAGGCTTAGGAAGAGCCACACTCAAGAGGCCAAAGAGCTGCATGTGGCTCGCGAGCCGCAGTTTGCCGACCACGGCTAGAGCAAGCCTGCCCTGGGTCTTTGCCTTGAGGGTTTTTATCTTCCTTCTGTGAGGGAGAATCTTAGGGGAGGATTTCAGTAGAATATTCATCAGCTTTCCAGATACTTTCTAATACGTTGATGCATCAAAGTGAGCATATAGGGGAGTTTGGGATTATTCTTTGGTCTGCTTTACTGTTTTACTTTTACCTTGGGTCTAATAGGGTTTTGTTATTTGTTCGCCTGGCTTCCTCTGTCCTTGGGTCTAGCTGGCACTAACGGCATTAACTGGGTCTCTGTCCTCTATCTCCCCAACCAGGGTGATTTTAAGCTATGCATTCTCTGGTTAGGGAGGAGAGGTATAAACCATTCGCTCTCACGTGTCCTTGGTTAGGGCAGATAAGTTCTTGCAAATTACTAGCTTGCTGTAGGTTGTTCAAATCCTATCTAATAATAGATAAACATGGTAATTGACTGTACCTTTGCTACGCTTCCCATTGGCTAATCAGCGTGATATGCAAATTAACTGCCAACAAAGATGGTGGCTAATTTGCATACTGCAGGCAGGGCGGGCCAACTCGAGCCGCCATCCGGGCCCCTGTGTGCCACCTAAGTCCCACCCCCAGCCGGGATCCCCGTGTGCGGCCCTGGGCAGTGGGGCTTGGTGGCGAGATTGGCCCGAGGAAGCCCTATTCTTGCAGGAATATTCCTGCAACGGGCTTCTAGTTGTTTAATATTCTTGTTTCAGTTTCCCCATCCCCATGCCCAGGAATTTCCTAGCTTCTTACTATCCTGCCTCACCTTCACTGTAGAACGATATGGCAGTCACCACTTATACCAAGTAATCAAACAGTATCACCAATATTGAAACAAGCTGACATTACGTGCCTTCTGATGTAATGCAGTAAGAAGTACAAGATATCAATGATCGATTATGATATACCCTTACCAACAATGTTTAATCTGAATTTAGTCATAAAGAAACAAGCAGACAGACACAATACATGGGACATTCTACAAGACAGCTATCGTGGACTCTTCAGAGAAATCAATGTGATAAAACGCAAAGCAAAAACAAAAAGGAAAAGTGGTATGGATACTCTTCAAATTTAAATAAGCATTAAGAGACATGAACATCAACTGCAAGGCACAAGCCAAAACTGAATCCTGAATAAAAAACTTAAAAAAAGAAAAGCTACTAAAGACAATTGGGGAGTTGGTTATGGTTTGCAATCCTGGTTATGTAGGAGAATGCCTTTATTCTTAGGAGATGAATGCTGGAATACTGAGTAGTAAGTGGCATGATATACAGAACTTAAATTAAGAATAGTTCAGAAAAACCTAAGAACATAAGGATGTTTTATATATATATATATATATATATATATATATATATATATATATAATATATTTAGACATAATGTGTATATAGTATTGATACTGAAGAAAAGAAAATGGAATGAGAATTGCTAAGAGAATAACTTTTCATATTGGAACTAATCAATCCTGTTAACCTAGCAAGCAATCCTTGATTTTAATTACATTCTGTGGTTTTGCCTTTATAAATCCTTTCTTTGTTCTATTCAGAGAGCCTTTTGGGTTGCTAACTGAATTTGCATCTCCAGCAATCCTTTTGCTCATATAAATGCCTTTTGTTCTTTCTTACAGCCTGAACCTCTTCTTTGGTTAACAGTATATATAAGTATATGCAGTACGTAGAGATATGGAAGAGAGTAAAAAGTTTTCATTACAAAAAAACCATTAACTTTGCTATTAGTATGAGCTCATAAAAGCACAGAGCAAGGAACCAGAATTATCCTAGACAATCTCTTATATAATTCTACAAATAGAATGGACACGGATTTTTGTACACATCTTTGTATAATAACTCTTCTGTATACAGCAGTTTGAGAGGCCATGACAGATTAAAAGGAAAACCTATACTTATTAGATTTCCGGGTATCCAAATCATTCTGCCTTTGATATAACTATTAAATCACCTAGACATAAGAGATTTGATTACAGAAGTTAAAGACTTCTAATTTGTGACTGCAGGTAGGAGTCATTCTGTCTGAATCTTGAGCCAATGTCAAGAACCTATGAAATTCTTTTTGTTGTTATAAGGCTTAAGTGAAACAGTGGAGTGTACGTTGTGCAATGGTTTGGGATCTAGTTTGCTCAGTTCTTTAGTGAAAATGTGCATAAGATATCACTTTACTCTAAGTGTTGAAAAGCCAAATTTGTCCATCATTGGTTCCATACATTAGTACTCATATACTTCCCAGACACTTAGGGAAATTGATTTTTTTATAAAGCATCACCCATCACGACTCAGGCACATACCATCTGCTCTCTTATTCATGCAGATGACTTACTACACTGGTACCTACATTTCAACAGCATTTTCTTCTGTTCTTTCTCTTACTTTTCTTTAAGAAGTTAGAAGTCCAACTACATAGTAATATCTCGATGTATTTTTCAATGGTTTTATTCCAAACATCAATGTTCTAGATCTCATACTTTCTAGTGTTGTTTACATTTGTTTGAGACATAATGAAAGTCTTTTTCCATCTCAATAAATTTGCTTACTCTTCACTGCATTCTGCCCTCTTCCTCCCACATATTAAAGGCACACTACTAAAGTTTATGTCATTCTTGCAGTCTTATCTCATCCACTCATTTCTGTTAATATCAGCAAAAGTAATGCCCATAAATAGAATTTAACCTTTTGACAATCTGCTTCAAGATTCATATTTACTTAGAAATTATTTTTTTAATTTTATTTTATTGTTTAAAGTATTACAAATAGTAGTATACATGTCTCCCTTTTTTCCCCATTGACCTTCCCCCGGCCTCCCCTATACTTAGAAATTATTATCAATGACTTGGAAAAATTAAAGCAGAAAAAAATATGTATGGTGTTTTTAAGTCACTGCGCTAACCAACACTAATTTATCTTCCAAGGCCAAACTTTTTTTAAAATACATTTTTATTGATTTCAGGGAGGAAGGGAGAGGGAGAGAGATAGAAATACCAATGGTGAGAATCATTGATCGGCTGCCTGCTGCATGCCCCCTACTAGGGATTAAGCCCGCAATACAAGCATGTCCAGGAATCGAACTATTACCTCCTGGTTCATAGGTTGACGCTCAACCACTGAACCACACCAGCCAGGCCCAAACTTGTTCTTATAGCAACTTAATTTCTAAGTCATCTATCTCTATAGCAATATTAAAAATGTTACTGAACTTTTATTTGATATATAAATTAAGATTTAAAGATGGTTGAGTAAATGCACACCAATGTTTTCATAGTTTTTGAGGCAAACTAAATCATATATTGAGAAACTGAATCTGGATGTGTACTACAAGATTTAAGAATTGCACGTGATAATTTTTGAAAATTCAAAGTTTGCCAAGAATATACTACATCTACTTTATTTACTCCACAAATATGTTCTGAGCACCAAAAATGTTTCAGATCTTCCTCTGAACAGTGGGGATGTAGCAATGAACAAAATTGAAAAAATGTCCTACCCTCACAGAACTTACCTCCCTGGAACAGAGCATAAATAAAGGCGCATTGTAATTTTAAAATGAGTGGTCAGGATGAGCTCAATGAGACGGTGCTGCAAAGACTAGTGGGAGGTAAGAGAGAAATTCCATGTAAATACCAGGAGAAAGAACAGTGCAGGTAGAGGGAACAGTAAGGGCAAAGCTCTGAGGAGGTAGAATTGGCCATGTAGGACAAGCATGTCAAACTCAAAGGCTAATACAGTCAATAAACAAGGTTTAAGTTTATGTGGGCTGCCAGGGTCCAGTCCCAGTGGTCCAGGGTTTCCCAAAGGTGTGGACGGGGTCGGCGAAGAATGATAGACACGGAGACAGCGTTCAGATGATCAGTATAGTCAGGTTCTTTTTTATTGCCCTGTTACAACTGTATTTATATTATTTAATTCTATAAGCATGCGTCTACAGTTACATCATCGTATGTTTTGGGTCCTCCATTGACCTTTTACAGTTTCTTGTTTTATGTTTACAGTTTCTTACCTGACCTTTGCTAAAAATCTTATT